GGGGGCTGACGTGAACGTTGACATAATAGACTCGTCGCTCCTGATAGATTGCGGAAGGCTATTGCACTGCTTATGATTGTCCAGAAGGCTCTGTCACTCCAAGCTGTGCGACTGAGAGTTTCTGTCTGGAGAGATTGGTGGCTGATCTAAGGCTCGTGCTGGTCGACCACTTTATCACTCTATTTTCCTGTCTCGATATATTTTTTATTAGACCAGGGGGGTGTTTCACAAAGGTCCTAAGTTGAACTTATCTCTAAGTTCGACTTACAAATTATGGAAAGCCGTTAGCATCTATTAAAATATTTTGTAAAAGTTATTGTAAGAGGCATAAAATGTTGATTTAAATCATTCATAAATTTCTATCATCAAGTAGATTTCATGTTCTTGATGTGGAATTTATAAAAAAGTCCAGAATACCTAAATTTTCGCTTTTGAATATATTTTATTTTAAGGCTAGAAATGGCATTCCAAAATATTGAAGCCCAACTTAGCTTTAAGTTCGACTTAGGATCTTTGTGAAGCACCCCCCTGTGCTCCTTTGAAATATATATCGCGCCACCCCCACTCAAACCTATAATCAGATAATCTTATTTTACTCAAACGTATGTGATCTGTACATTTGTCCTATAAGATCAAGTCAAGGATTATACGGTTTCTAAGGGATTACAATGCAGATGGGCTTTATCATCATGATCATGTTATTACGTTATGACCTAAAGGACGCAACCTACGGAGATTTTCTCTTCGGTTTTCTTTCAATTTGGAAGGGATGTTCTTACGGGGGAAAAAAATAGTTCATCAAGGTATCTTCTCCCCGCTCGAAGGATGATTGCAAAAATGAAAAAACACCCCCCCCCCCCAAAAAAAAAAAAACCCTCGAAGACAATCAACGAGATAATAGAGAAGTCAGATAAAACAAAAAAGAGAGATGGAGGGAGGGACGGAAAGGGATAATAATATTGATTACGGAGAGCGATGAACTTATTGAAAAAAGGAGATGGAGAAAGGAAAAGAGAGGCCAAAAGTGGGCAATAAATATTAGTAAATGATAAAGGAAATAATTATAGTGGATAAAATTTTAAAAAAAGAAAGATAGTAAATAAATATGCATGGGTGTTATCCCTTTCATTCTCCGATGGAATAAAATTCCTCATCTTTCTGCAACTTTCAGCGAGGTTTTCGTGGGGAAGGGGGGGGGGCTGATGCTCGTTTATTACATAGCGTGAAAATATGACTTGTATTGCAAGTATTTGCATACCAACAATCAGTCCCTCAAATTATTAACTGTCACTTTGTTTTGGTCTACTCCGAAACAAAGTAGGGGCGGGGCACCATGAGCACACCCGAATCCCAGTATCCTTTACGGCTCTTTTCGGATAGCCTGCACGTTTAATTATATTGCTATACCATTATTCTACATGCACTATTATTATGAGCGATCAATCGCCTATACCACCCGCCTGTCTGCCTGCCTGACGATTGTACGAGGTGTCGATGCGTCGTGGTCACGACCCTGTTGGAGCCCAATCTAATTATCCCACTAGTGTCCCACAGCCCCGAGCTCTTCATTATCATTTTACTTCCAGACGCCCCGTGCAGTACTTGATAGAGAATAGACAGACGTGACCAAGAATACACAAACGGGAAGTCGTCCCTTCCCATTACCTTGACAAAATCTAATCTAATATTCATAATTATTATGTGTAAGTAGTAGGAGCAGATCTATGATTTTGTTAAAGGATCGAGGATGCAAGATATTTCGAGAAAAAATTGTCATCACCTGAAAAAGGGGGACGGGAACATTTACAAAGCTGTGTTTTGAAAGGGGTATCTGCCCAGTGGCGTCGATCTGCAATTGATACATATTGTTCAGTGGGAATGATTTATTCACCCCCCCCCCCTGAACAATAGGTATTAAGTAAGGATCGACGCGACTGCACCTGCCGGCCGTACCCCCTAAACCCGCCAGCGTAAATAAGCCATTATTTTTCTGAATATTGCATGTATCATTGTGATGTGAACATGATTTTGTGGATGTAATTTCTTATAAACAAAAAAAATAATTATTTTAAAATCATTATCCTTGTGGGTTTTATTAATACATGTATATCTAATGCAAAAAACAAGTAGGTGTTGGGCGTATTGTACACCTTTTAAACAATCAAGGAACCTCTTATTTCAGCGTCTCTCGCTCATAATTATTCATGCTAAAGTGTCATGGGGATTTTCACGAATTAATATCTTATTGGGAATCCCTATACGCATCTCTAATATGGTATGGGAGATTTAAAAAACAAAAACAAAATAATAGGAAAATTAAAACCACCTCTTTTAATTAAAAAACATACCCAGGAGACGCCGTCGTGAAATTGTCTATCTTGCAACGATTTAAAGAGCTCCTTGGCATTTATCTTGTATACCCAAACAGCTTGAAACTTCTTTAAATGTTTCTTTTAAAGGGAAGAAATTCAACAAATGCCGTAACTAATGTATCTCTTTCTCCCATGTTTTTATTGATAAACGTTTCATTTCCATCTATTGCACTATTAGCAATCAATGATTTGCATTGTCGAAGCTTCCCTGGCTAATATTTTACAATAATTTTTTATCTTCATCCACTTAATCCCATTCCATTTTTCGTTTTTTTTAAATATCATGTATCTGATCTCTTCTCTCTCCTTCACCCCCTCTCTCTCTCTCTCTCTCTCTCTCTCTTTCTCACTCTCTGAAATGCACCTTCCAACCACTTTTTGTCTAATTTGTAAATCCTCTAACATTGATTTTAATGTAGGTTATCACAACTATATATCAATTTCAGCCAAATATACAAAACTTGTTTACAGGAAATGTGCTCCATCTTGAATGATGTACCCAGATATAAAAAAAAAAAAACATGAAGTGACAGTCCCCACCCCTCCCCAGAAGATTTGTCACAATGTGAGTAACAAATGTTACTCTTTGTTTGATAGCTTCATGAAGACACAATCATACTGTTACTTGCAATTCTTTTCTTAGATGCTACTTATACATATCGGCTTGCATGGTGATGTAGATATACAGTAGGTTTACGGTTGCACCATGTGAGAGAGAGGGTGGAGGATTGGGGAGTCCTGAAAAGCACTGTCAGTAATCTTTCTTTCTTGTTTTCATCAAAAGAGGGCGCTCTTTAAAATCACTCTTGGGTCCACTCCTAACTAACATACTGCATACACAAATCACTATAACTTTATTGACCTTTAAGAACCATTTATTACATTTTCATGTAAAAGTAAAAAACATTTGTATGTGTTCGGAGGTTGTGGCAAATCTCTAACACATAGATGTATGGAATCAAAGGAACTGATTATCGTGTAGAAGCCAGAGAAACAGGTAATTAAAAAAATGGAAAAAAAAATCAAAGGAATGAGTTACAATTTTTAGAGTTGATATCAATAAAAAAGGTGAGGCATCTACCATTATGGTATGTATCTTGTCATGGAAAACTCTCATTTGGTGCAAACTAATATACTACTGTTTCTATTTGTAGTTGTCATCAACCATTATGGGTCACAAATTTGTAACTATCCTCTATGAATGGGAGAGTTCTCCATGTATTAATCCACAAAGGCAATGAATACAGTATTTTCGAATACTCGATACAGCAATGGGAATAATGTTGTCTTCTTCCAGTCTGGTGTAAATTGATATAAAAGCAGTTAAACTGAGCCTGTTTTATATATTCTTTCTCCCCTTGCTCAGTCATGCTAGGTGAGGAGAGAGCAACAGTGAGTCTGATTCCAGGACTCTGACACCAGGTCAGTGTTTCACAAAGACTAAGATTGACTTTAAGTTGGACTTAAAGGAAACCATAACCTTCATACTAAGTTACTTTTATTGTAAAGTTTAAAAGATTTGAATAAAATCAGTGAAAATTTGAACAAAATCAGGCAAGGAATAAGGAAGTAAGATGTGTGTGTGTGTGTGTGTGTGTATTGGGTTTTTACAGACGTGTATCAATCAGATATGATTATTTACGTCATGGGACCGACCTTTAAACGTCACCATCCGAAAGACGTGACGTTTCGAACCTGCGTCCTCGGCTGAATCAGTTTGTAACTTCCACTTTTTAGCTGGATTACAGGCGCACGCCACAACGCCTAGAGCTTTTTTAAATGACTAGTCACTAGAGGGCGGTATTCAATTTGATGACATCATCTGTGAACAACTCTCCATGCCTTTAGTACATAAAATTTCACATTTTTTTCGTTTTCTTCGTATTTATTTGTGGTCTTGATCCGACTTCACAATATGTGAAGTAGAATATCATTTTGCATTCTATATCTTGCTTTCGGGGGAGTACATTATCTCAATCACAAGAAAGAAGGAAAAACATGAAATTTGATGTACAAAAGGCATGGAGAGTTGTCCACAGATGATGTCATCAAATTGAATACCGCCCTCTAGTGACTAGTCATTTCAAAAAGCTCTTACTTCCTTATTACTTGCCCGATTTTGTTCAAATTTTCACTGAAATTTTTCAAATATCTTAAGCTTTACAATAAAAGTAACTTAGTATGAAGGTTTTGGTTTCCTTTAACTATGGCAGACTGTTCATGCCACTGTTAGCTCTCACTATTGGTCCCTCAATTTTGATCTTTAGATAATATATTTTTCCTCAAATAATGAACTATCAACAAATGTAGATTCTGTGGATTTGTGACCACAATTTATACGTCCCTTGAGAAACCAACAAGAATGGTTAGAGGAACTAGTGGCATGAACGGCCTGCCATAGTTATGTCCAACTTAAAGCCAATCTTAGTCTTTGTGAAGCACTCCCCAGGTATAATAGGGAAGCTTGGTTTTAGTAAACCCACTCGAGCATGAGGAAGGGTATTTTTGTCTGTAATGGGAAAACTTAGCACTGGTATATAACTTATCATCATGAATATCATCATTAATTGTGCCACCAATTACAATTATGTATGGAGTATAATCACAGAGGATATACTATACAAGAAATTCATACAAATAATTTCAAAATTTAATTTTCATTTTAATAGTATGGAACTGTACATACTATTTAACAGTTGAGCTTACCAATTTACTATCATCACATTTATTGGATATTTTGAAGGGTCATTATTAAAATAAAAATCTGGTCAAAATTTGCACAACGTGAACGATGTAAACCATGAGCGTGGCGACCGGTGTTACTCAATTACTTTGCATTATCTATTACACACTTTAGTTTGATATCAGCAGCCATATTTTGAGGCTTGGCTCAAGAAATGAACGAACATGGAGCCTCATCTAACCACATGAGACACATCTTCAAAGATGTACGGTCTTCCACCAGAGACACTTCAAAGTCCAAACTGATGCGGCTGTTGGTAGTCTTCCATAAAAGTGTGATCCTGGAAGCAAGTAGGTCATTGACACTCGCACTAGACACTAGAGGGCGCCGTATCAGAATCAGCACATTGCCCGATCAGTTTGAGTCAATACCATTTCTCAATCTTAAACCACATCCTATCAGGTGTCCTCTTCTTCTTCGTCTTCTCCAAATGATAACAGACTTGAATTCTTGACTTTCTTTCCAGACCTGCTCTTGTCCTTCTTCTTCTTGTCATCTTTCTTCTTCTTCGAGGAGGATGCTTTCAAGTCTGACGTGTCAACCTGGCTTCTTTTGGTGGGTTTCCTGAACCTTATTCTCCCATCTGAAGGTTCTGAACACAAACAGATTATAGAAATATAAAAGAAGAAAACAGTGATCATTTTATGATGAAGATTGCTAACAATATTGGAATTTAGAGTTTCTAGTAACAACCCACCTGGCAGTGCATGTACTAAAGGATGCATACGTGTACCAGTTACCTTTCACCTTAGTAATAAATGCACTCTGTATCATTATTTAATTGTTCATTTATTCATTAACAGGGTAGCCCACTCAACATATCGTCCATGTTTTCACGAAGTGACGGTAGTGAGGAAAATCGTAACACAAATTGAATGCAATTTTTTTTCACTACCATCACTTCGTGAAAACAGCGACGATATCTTGGTCTCTCATGAGGCCCTGCGAGTAAAATCATAAAATTGTAAAGAGAATAAGACTTAATTTATACAGTTGACAACTTGACATTCACATAATACTACAGACAGTTAAAATTTTCTTTACATTATGAACATATTTTAGGATGACACAGGGAGGGGAATTGTATTTTTATCATGCACATCCAAATTTACAACTTTAACCAGTACTTGAGGAATTATGTATGATATTATAAAAGAAAAGGAAAAAAAAAAGGCATTTGCATTAATTGCCAGCAAAATGTACTGATAGTTGCTGCAATTCATCACTCTCTTCAAATATTATTTGAATAAAAGATAAATCAATCAGTATCCCAATGCAGGGAATGTTCATTTACATTGCCTACATAAACTGGGTGGCTCCTGCAAAGGAGACGATCCAGAGGTCAACAGGTTAAATCACAATAACATACCATCATCATCTTCCTCTTCCTCCTTCTCTTTTTGGCTTTCATTGATCTGTATCCCTTCTTCTTCAGCTTCTTCCTGTGTCAGATCTCCCTTTCCTAGAACCACCACTACTGGCTTCTCATCCTCCTCATCTGGTCTGTCTGGTAAATCATCAAGAGATAAAGCTCCTTTCTGCAACAAAGTATAAGACAAATTACCTTTAATTTAGAGTCTTAGGTCAGGGTGACGCTCGCTCGAGCTCGTCACACTCTTTAAAATGTCCATTGCATATTACAGGATTGGGGTGTTTGTATTGACAAGATACTTTCTTTACATGATCACATTCAAAAAATCATTTCCTCAACAGAATTTAAATTTTGTTTTTATTTTTCTTGAGGGAAAATTGAAGGCCTAGCATAATATTGAAATTTAGCCTTGCGCTCCTGGCCTGGCCCCGGCCCCGGCCGCCCCAGCCCAGCGAGCTAGCGCGCTACTGCACTGGCCTTGGTGAGTCAGGACAGAAGGGTAAGATAAGGCGTTCTTACCTTTGTATCAACTGTTGGTCCTTCTTTGTAGCCAGAGTCCTTCTTAAATTTTGCTAGGAAACTTGGCTCAGCAGGCTTGATGTAATTTAATTGACGTTTACCTGCCATAGTTAGAGATATTAAATCTAAGCGGCGTGAAACATGAACACTCAGCATACAAAGCGCCCAATAATGAAGGGCCGAGAAAATGTGAGGCGATTTTGAGAACGAGTGTGGCCGATTGTCACCGAATCTGGCAAGTGAATTTGCGCGAACTTTGATTGAGTCAAATTCAAAGGAGACTAGGAACTTCATTGAATATATTACAAAATACCTTCTAGCGAATGAAGGTTTCACTATTACCATGAATAATGCTGACAAGAAGGAGTTCAAGAGTAAGTATCAACATTCAGTTTATATTTTTCCTTATCTGGTTGAACGAGAGGAGTGTCATTTGTAAAGTTTACAATTATACAAAACGTCTGAGTTACGGACTGTACGTGTACGGGGCCGCTCCACCGCCTGGGCTTAGGGCTAGGGAGGCTGGCCTGCCCGAGGCGCGGCGGGGCTCCACTGAATTGATCTCTTGAATCGAATGATGGCCGCTGTTTTGTGGAAGTCCATGCTCGGTTAGTTTGAGTTGCTAAGGCTAAGCCAAAGCACAAGCAGACATGGCACTGGCAGAATAATCAGCAAAAATGAGGAAAGAATGCATAGATCTGGTTCTACTAACATTGCCATGTACTACTATGTAGTCTAGATCTAGTGATCTAACAAAGAAACAATCTTCATTTCGGTCGGGGGGCCGTTTCTCGAAACCAACTCCATGACAGTCATATCTTTGTCGGCGACCTACAGAGATGTCATGAAGTGGATAAACAGTTTCACGAAGCCATGACAGACATGATATCGATATATCGCGATACTAGCAGCTCAAGAACATAGATCTAGTCTTTGTCCTGTTTGTCACGATCTAGATCCATTTGATTTATCACGAATAACCCAAAACAAGTTTTGGGGCTAAAATTGTTCAAAAACAAACATATAGGTCTAGTCTACATCAACTCTCCTAAAATAAATAAAAAATAGTGTCATTATCAAATGTAGATAGTTTTTCAATGTGTACTTTTTTTGTTTATTGTGACAAGGAATTTTAGGCAAAATACCTTTTTTCAGCCAGTTTTTATTCTAGAGTCTCATAAATACTCGTTATATAATTGATTTGATGTTGAAAATATAATTCAGAAGAAGTAATTAGAGAGGGAATAATAATGCACATAAGTCCCAAAGGTATGGTAGTATCCTAAGAAAAGATTATAGATCTATGCTGGACAACGGTGTGTAACATTCTTATCTCTTTTATTTATATGTTATAGTTTAATGATTTGTGATTTAATGTTTATATTCAGCTTTTTAAAATTTCTGTATAATTTGTATTATCACTTCTTTACATTTGCAATTCGCATCCCAGAATATTACGTACCGAACTTGTCTATATTTTTCTCAAAATGATAGTGAAACTAATCGTACATTTCGCGGCCCATGGAATAGCAACAAACTGACTTGTGATGGCGCTTAAAAAGCAATTAAAAAGATATGACGGGTTCGGAGCAGTGACAACTCATTGTCGCGGAAGTTGTCGCTCATCTTGGCAAAGATGGCTTCGTGAAACACTTAGCTGACAAGTTGCGTGACAGTGTCGAGATGTCGTTGATCCTGTAGTTATGACGGTTTCGAGAAACGGCCCCCTGAAGTCGAATTTAGGCCAGGGGCATTGCCATTACTAGTTTAGTCTATTCGTTAGAATAAGATCTAGCCATTAAATATGATTATTCTGTCAATCATGTTGATGTGATGTTATTTTTGTTAAATTATTATTTGTTGTTGTAGGTTTTTATGGCGTTTCAATCATTGTTGAATACCCGTAATTTTCAACTGGCAATGTGAGAGGGCATAGTTTCTGGTCCTCTCTTGGTAATTTTGATCCGTTGCCTTGTTGGATAGATGAAAGACTGTGGCGTTGTGTTTATGAAATTAATATAATAATGTCAGTAAATTTTTGATAGTGATTTTCTGTATTTTTATGCAGCTTGTTATTTTAAAGAATAAATTAGGAAGGAAAGGATGAAGTGGTTGGATATTATTAGTTGCGTTCAGTTGTAGTGTAGTGTAGTTTAGTGTAGTGTAGTGGTGGTTATTTTACCTGACTGCTAAGAAAGCATAAGTTATTACGTTAAGACGTTAGTTTGAAGCCTTTCTTTGTGTAATGAAGCAGTTTATACAATTTATATAATGAAGCAATTTATACTGAGGATACCACTGTCATGTCCTTAATGATGCTGATAAATAATACAGCAAAACGTATTTAATACTAAATTTTTATAGCTGAGCATCACAGTTTGTTGTACCTTCCACTGCCCTTTGAAAAAGCTAGCACCTTTCCTATGATATTCCTTGTTTTTTAGTAATTGACATATATTTGGAATTTTGGGCATGATAATAAAAAGTGCTCAATTGTTTCTTTTGTTGGCATTCTTCACATAGTCTAGTGTTGTGTTTTCTATTTAGATATTTATAGTAATTCAGTATTGTTCTTGATTTACAGGTTTGCAGAAATGCAAATTAAAAGCACAGGCTGGAGGTAACCTGAAGGACGAGGCAGAATTATGCAACCTGATCGGTGAATTGCTTGCAAAATCTGGTCAGTCTCAAGAAGTTGGTCCTTCTTTTCTCTTTCTCTTAACCCTATATAGCCCGGGCTATTTTGAAACTGCATAGCCCCTGGGGGGGGGGGGGGGGCATGCATGTCAAGTGAAGTGTATAGAATACGATGGTACATGTAATTTCAATTTTTTTTGAAAAATTCACTCATTTGCATATTTATGGTAATTTATGCAAATATGGTAATAACATTCACATTTTTATCCATAAATCATATATTCTTCATATTTAAACATTAATTTTCACTACATATATTATTTAGACCATCTGGGATAATAATACAGCCAAAAAAATTGGAAGAGCCAGGTTATTCCTTATGTTATCTATTTTTTTGATAATTTCTTATGTATTTCTTTGTTCTTTTAACTTATGTATTTTATTGTTTTTGTTGTTTTATTTCATTTCCAACTATAATTCAACTATTTTGACCCCAAAATATGCACCTAAACTATAAACAAGACCAAATAACCAATGTTTTATCTCTTTATTTGAAAAATGAGATTTCCATATATGTTTTGTACACAAATCACAAAAATTAACGATTTTCGGGCTGACATGCAAAGACAAAAGGACACATGACTTTGTAATGGTAGGTCCAATTTTCGAAAAATTTCTTTCAAAAGATGCGCGAGACTCGATAGAAAAAAGTCACAAAATTTCAGTGCAAGATTTTCTTGCGTTACAAAATTATCGCGAAAAATGTTGAGGGGTTTTCGGGCTAGATAGGGTTAATGTACATTGTAGATCTAGAATGACTTTGAAAAATGAAACTCCAATTTTAAGTCTTAGAAGTCCAGTTGATGTGTTAAAGAAGGAGTGAAATGAAAATGCAAACATAATATTGAACAGTCGTCAAAATATGGTTTAATTGCAAATGTGTCTTTGTTGATTAGAGTGTACAGGGATAAACTATGTTGATAAAACAGAGCTAATTGATTGTCTTTGGAAATGCTCATTAGAAAGGTGTTAAAAATTCTTTTTTGTAAATTTGGTTTTGACTTTTAATTGTTCTTCTGTTACTTTGCATTTAAAATATTATCTTGTGTGTTGTAATAAAACAAATCAATTATTTTATATTTCATCAAACTGTCAAGTATAACAGATTAGTTTCCTTTATATATTTCCTGATTAGAGAATCATTCCATTGAAAATACCTCTTTGATATTTTAACAGGGGATTACCATGAGGCAATCAAAGAGCATCGCAATGAGCTCCAGCTCTCAGAATCTCTCCATGATGTCATCGGAGCAGCGGTCGCTAACAGAAAGATCGGTGAATGCTTCAATGAGCTTTGTGAGTATGAGAAAGCTCTCAAACACCAACGCAAGCATCTACAGCTAGCTGAATCGGATGATAATATTCTTGAACAGCAGAGGGCGCTTGCTACGATAGGACGAACGTATCTGTGCTGGGCAGACAATCCCGAGACGGAAGCTGCTAAGAAGACAGAGGTCTTGCAGGAAGCCCAGAAAGCATTTTTGAGGTAGAGTTTGTAAAACTGAATCAGTAATAGTGCAACAACTGTAGGCAGATTTACTCATATTAACAATTGAGAGTGTTGATGGTGATAAACTTTTACCAATTGAGCCTGTTACAAAAGTATAATAATAATAATAACAGTGGACATTTTTAATGTGCAATGTCTATCAAAATTGACACTCCTAGCGAATTTGTGAAAAAATGTTGTAAATGTGGGCATGTAAGACTAGAATCTAATTGCAAGTTATAAACATAAAGGAATTACAAGAAAACTTCTAATTCATTTCAACAAAGTAAGTAATAAGTATTCACAATGACAGTTATTGCTGGAGGCTTGATTATAATTCCTTTTTAAAAATTGTCTATGAAATGGGAAAAAAGTACATGTTTGAAGTTTCTGCATCCAGGTTTAAGTTACATAATCTTACTGACTTGTTTTCTGTACAATTTGAAAGTTACAGTTCTAAGAATCCCCCCCCCCCCCCCTTTGATGAACCCATAACATGTCAGTGAATACGGTAGGTGAAACACAAACAATATTGATCAACCCCACCAACAAAATAGAGTTAAGAGGATCATGGCTGCAATGCCCGAACCTACCATATTAAAAAAAATAGGTATTAAACATGTTTTCTTTTTAATGTGTTGCATGTACAGGAGTTTATCCCTCTGTGATGATGTGACGTTACGATCCAAGATTTCAGAGCGAGAGCTGATGGAAATGAGGGCACGTCTTCTTCTGAACCTTGGACTGGTCCACGAGAGCCTTGGGAGTGGCAAGAATGCAGCACACTTCATACAGAAGGCCATCTTCATTGCAGAGTGAGTCAACTTTAAGAGTTCATGTCCTTTTTTATTCTACTTTAGGAAAAGTTCAAATTACATTTTGTCCTGTACGACATTCATTGCATAAACTAATGAACTTAATACATGTATACAATTGATAGCTGTACTTGTGATCTGAGTATTTGACATTTGCTCCAACAACATTTAATCCCGGCTTATAGAGTTAGGATAAGGGTTTGGGTTGCATTTGGGTTTAAGGTGAAGGTTAGGGTTAGGTTTAAGTTATAAAGTGTTAGTTCCGGGGTTGAATATATCAACTCAATTAATGTACATGTCAGATACTAGTCATAGAGCTTCTGTAGCTTGAATCTGCCTAATTGTCGGGTAAAATGGAGTTTCACTGGCAATAACTGTTGTTCGAATGATTAATTTTTAGAAAAATAAAAATAATTATATTTTCTGTTCATAATCATCTGCCATGCTATGAGGTATGGTACATAAATGCCTGTCTGATTACAAATTGCTTATTGACACTATGAAGTATTTGTAATCTATTTCGTTAATCTTTTTTCATGATCTTAATTTAGGAAGCACAAGCTGCTAGAGGATCTGTACAGATGTCATCTATCATTGGGTGATGTCTTCCAGAGGTCTGGGGTCTACTCCAAGGCTGGCCGCTCTATGGAGAATGCCCTCATGGTCGCCAAGAAGATGAAAAGCAAGGAGCTCGAGAGCCAATGCTTATGTGCATCTGCAAATGTAAGACTTTAAAGCTCCTCTGCACTACTTATAGCTACCTGCGCCCTCTATATAGCAAACAATGCCTAAGCGGTGCCTGTTGGTTCCCCATCATCCCCTTTTTCTTATGTTATTTGAGAGCTGATTTGATGAGATAATCACCTGTCAGTGACCTTGCAGGAAGGTCTAATCCCCCTGGCCAAATTAGTACAAACGGGCTTTAAAAATAATGCTGTATAATACTTTGAAAGTTGACACAAGATAGTGTATTTCTACATTTGTTGTTGTTGTTGTTTTGCTACCATTGTTGATGTTTCCTTTGCCAAGTATTATTGATTTTATGATAGTGTGTTGAGTGGATATCAAAGCTCATGAATAACTTGTTCTTTTTGTTGCAACCTAGACCTTTGCCCAGACTGCTAAAACTTCACATAAAACACTTTGTTAATGGAATTGTTTAATTACTACTAAGGCTACAAAGACAGGAGGTTAAGGCTACTTGTCATGACATTAGGTGGTCAGTTGTACTCAGGCCACTCTCTAGATTTTATAGACTGTACTAACATTTTCAAATTTCATAAACCCATTTCTGAAATGTATCGGTCTTGTTCCCACTGACAGGTATTCTTCCAGCTGGGCGACTTCACTGCAGCTAAGCGTAGCCTGAAAAAAACTTACAAGTTAGGTGGCCAACAGCCTGAGGAGAGGGAGAATATCATCAGAATCCTACAAAAAGGTTATTACAAAAAATAGTTTTATCAAAGCATTCCTTGATATATATAATTTTTAAGGTAGTAACCCCTGATCAGAGATACCATAAGGATTAAAATACAAAACATGTAAATGATTTTAAATATAAAGTATGGCTTTGAAATCACAGTGGATATATTGTTGCAAACTATTATGTTAATGCTTCATACGAAGTAAAACTATTTTTATAAAATGTAAAATTACATCTATAAATTCAGGCTGTTTGTAAAAGGAATTTCAAATACAAATACAAATACAAAAATACAATCTTGTAAAGAGATATTTGTAAACTAAACAAAATTGGTTTGTGGTAAACCTTGATGAAATCTTGACGTGAAATACACAGATGAAGTTTAAAAATTCTTTGGCAATTTCATGACGACATGGCATACAAATACAGTACATGTCCTTCAATATGGTCTCTTTCCAAGTTTCTCTGCAGTAGGAGATGAGGGGGCAATAAATTGTGATAAATTCTTCTGTTTTCCTCCTTATATGGAACTGTTCTGATGCAACTGTAGCTATCCGATGTGTGAATCTGCAAGGGAAGCTAGACAGCTTACCCTCTGACGATCAGGAGTCTCGACTTCCAGTCCTGGAAGCATTGGGTGATCTATGCTGCAAGGTGTATAGCTACAAGAGAGCTATCGAGTTCTACAAGAAACAGGTAAGTAGATCTATCAGCTAGGGCCCCGTCTTACAAAGACTTATGATTGATCCAAATCAATCGCAAGTCCTCCAATCGGTCGCAAGTTTGCAGTCTCTTATCTCTCATGTACATAGTTGCCATTGGTATCAATTGCAATAAATAAGTTGCGATTGATATCAACTCTTTGTAAGACAGGGCCCAGGTTGAAAGCATGAGGTGCTCTTTTAAGTAGAGTTGATAGGCTATATCATATTCATCAATGCCTGGTCATGCACTTTAAGTACTCATCAATAGCTACAGATGTGCATCATATAGATCATAGTTTATCAGCTTAATTTTCTTATTAATCTGTTGAATATATATACCCTCGATGGCTTGGGTTAAAATTCATGTTATTCCAAAGATCAAATAATATTCAACAAGTAAAGAGCATATATCCTGTGAAACACTGCCTCTGATATGATACACCATATTTTTCTCAAATACACATTCATCTTGTATCGAAGCAAGTCCAAGCTAATTTTTTCCCATGCGTTACTGACCGCATCTAAGCTTTCAGTCAATCTGACGATTGTATCAAGCTGATAGCTACACAAGAGCTTAATGAGACCAAAAAACAAAAACAAAATTAATTTCATGTTATTTTATGTTCAAACTTCCATAATGCATGTACTTTGTAACATATGGGACATACCTTGTACTTGTCTATCTGCTATTTTACTGTATTTACTGCATGGTCCTTTTAGCTCCAGTGTGCTAAGGGACTTGAGAAGCCGGCCAAGGAACAAGCCTCCATCTACGTATCTCTGGCCGCTACATACGCAGATGATGGCCAATTTGGAGAAGCTATAGAGATGTACAACCAAGAGCTCAAATTGAGGCGTGGAAATCTCAAAGAGGTATCTCATTTTTCCCATGTGGAGAATTTTGTGTGTGTGTCTATCTGTAGGATGATTTTACAATTCAGATAAGCAGATGGAATGCTTTTTTATTGTTGCATTGTTGATCAAGCACATCTAGCAAGCTCTTCTAAACCATAATACCATCAGCATACCCATATTTTGTGGGATAGGAGTTTATAAGGCAGTAGGCATGTTTTTGAGAGAAGTGAAGTACCGATAGAAGACATGGATGAAAAGATGATGTTAGATATGAGTGCTGTATGAATACATACTGATATCATATTGTGCTTTAACTGTTGTGTCAGAGACTGATTAAGAACTTGGTCAAAAGGTTTGGGTGAAATGTGACTCAAGCACAGGTTCTAGAATTTAAGATAATTTGAAACATTTCAGACCAGTGTTGAAAGAAATTGAAATTGAAATTGAACAACTACACAGTACACATTATCCCATCCAAGCAAATCTGGGAATTAGTATAGCGCAGTTATCTACTTATCCAATGAAAGGTGTTGATGAAACTGAAAAACTACTGATAAACCTGGGAAAGACTGGGGTAGTGGCTAGTTGTAAGCTATGCGGAATAGGTATACATGTCTTTAGCTGGGTTTTGAAAGTGGATAGCAGGTCACAAGTGCAAAGGTACTGGGGAAGACTGTTTCACAACCACACATTAAAGAAGCAAGTAGAACAAACTGCTTATAATTGTCCATTGTTTCAGAGTATACATTTAAAAAGAAAGAAGATATGACTTAACAATATACTTGACATTCTAGGAGACAAAGACATGGTTGAATGTAGCTGACATGCAAGAGAAGGCAGGAGAGAGTTTAGAGGTCATCCAGGAATCGTATAGCAAAGCTTTAGAGCTGGCTAAACAAGCTGACCATCCTCGGTTACAGGTAGGTTACTCATCTACTTTGGCTTATATTGAAACCGTCTAATCCAACCAACCATAAATCCGACTTCATGAATTTCAAGAGTGATGATATATAGTTGACTTATCAAATTGTGCTAGTGAGATTGAATATGTATATATATATATAGAAGTTGGAAAGGTTCAACTTTATTAGTAACAAATACATTTTATACAAGGCAATGTTAAATACACTCATGTGCAGTCGGGCAAGAGTACAAAAGAGACACCATAATACCCAAGTAAGGGTCAATGCAAGAATACAATTGTGGAATTAAGGGGTTTAACCATATTCAGAGAGTAGAAACTTTCTCTTATGTTTACATGTGGAAATGAGTTCGGTTCTAGGGTTCAGGATGGTGGATTCAAGCATTGCGATCACAGCTGGTTGTTCTAGAAAAGCACAACATCAAACATGTTCTGAGACCAGCCCGAGGATGTTTTGAAACCTCAGGGATGATCAAGGAATCACCAATAAATAGAACCTCTTTCTACTTCTCTCTTTAGATTCAAGCATTGAGATCCCAGCTGGTTGTTCTAGAGAAGCACAACATCGAGCATCTTCTGAGACCAGCCCAGAGGATGTTTAGAAACCTCAGGGATGATCCGGGAATCATCAATAAATAGAACGTCTTTCTACTTCTCTCTTTAGATTCAAGCATTGAGATCCCAGCTGGTTGTTCTGGAGAAGCACAACATCGAACATCTTCTGACCCCAAGCCAGAGGATGTTCAGAAACCTCAGGGATGATCCAAGAATCACCAATAAATTAAACGTCTTTCTACTTCTCTCTTTAGATTCAAGCATTGAGATCCCAGCTGGTTGTACTAGAGAAGCACAACATCGAGCATCTTCTGAGACCAACCCAGAGGATGCTTAGAAACCTCAGGGATGAACACGGCATCGCCTCCGATGACGACCAGGAGATCAGCGACGATGAGGACGATGATCAGGGTGATAGTCAGAGAGAGGACTCTGAGCAGCTTGGTCACTCCTTGGATATTGTTCTTGATGATCTTTCTGATTCAGGTATAAATGGTTACATTTTGAGATACGGGATTTTTTTTCCTCAAATAAGCCAGTTCACGGTTGCAGTCTGAGCATGAGCAGATAAAGGTCATTGCAGAACAAATTTTGAAATACATGGAGAGGAAATACTGGATACGTGCTCATGAAAGTTATGTAATCATTATTCATTAATGCACAATCAGTGCACTCTATGATACACAGGTGGAAGTATTCTTTGTAAAAGGGGAAACAAAGGCTATTTATATAGCACCTCCATCGCTGTAGGAGTGATTATTTCAAAATGTACAAAGTGGGACCTCTTTATGTTTTGAAGATCTGTGGATATTTGGGGTCATTGCAGTAATATGCTAACCGTGAACTGGTCTATTGTAAACATCGGCATATTGGATATTGTTCTTGATGATCTTTCTGATTCAGGTATAAATGGTTACATTTTGTGATACGGGATTCTTTTCTTCAAATTGTAAACATCGACATAGTCTTTTTAATTATTTTTTTTCATTGCAAATTTTCTATGTAATGATCATTTATTTTGTGGCACAAAAGTTTTAAGAATCTGGATTACACACACACACACACACACCCATACACATTATACTGCGTGTACAGATTATAAGCTTATTCCTTCAAATTGTAATTCACATTTGTCCTTGTAGGTTACACATTCATGAAAAAGAAGAAAACTATAAAAGAGTTGTTGTGATTTAGAGTCTAAAATGCCACGCGTCAGCACAGGACCTGGCAGATTCATGTGCTGTATGCATATCCATATTATTATTTCATTTTCATAATATTCTGCAAAATTTGCACAGAGTAAGTGTTATAATTAAATGATTTTCTGGCACAAAACTTTCACTTATCTCAAATGCAATAAAAATAAGGAAGTTTAGTTTCAGATTGTGGTGTCTTGTTCCGTAATTAGGCTTGATAGAGGTATACAAAGTGATGAGGTTCCTATTGATGTATTTTCTGACACAAGATTCTGGTTCTGATGAGGAGTATGATCGACCTACTGCCTCTGAGAGGGTCAGGAGAAACAAGGTGAGAAACTAAAAGCCATTGGAAACAAAATTAATTGTTTTGAAATTTCCTATTGGTGTTATTTCTAGCTTGGCCTTCAATTAGAAAGCAGTTTGCTGTAATCATAGTAGAAATACTGTTTCGTTTTGTTAAGAGCGTAAATCACACATTCACCCTGCAGTCTGTGTGTGCTGTGTCAAGGCCAGTCAATATAAAACATATAATTTTTTTTGCCCTTTGTTCCTAAAAGGGATCCGGTAACTTTGTCTTAGATCCTTTTAAAAAATCCTTGATTTAGCTCATGCTGCAATGATAACTATAAACCTTAAGGTCAGTCAGGAACCCTATGACTTTTATAAGCCGATCGCCTGTCTGATTTTCAAGATATTTATGATTGAAAATCAAAATCAAATTATTCGTTTGCCAAATGGTTTTCATGACATTACAGTCCATTGGGGAAAACGAGTGTTAAAACCGGTCACTCAAAGGTTTTCACTTTTTTGAGGCCCTTCTTGATCATTTTGAAACGCCAATTTTTGTAGGGCTTCAATATAACACCATATCACAGACACCGATAACACGTAGGGCCGTGCATCTTAGATTTAACATTGTTAAACGATCCCTTTGAGCAAATATTATATCCTCTGGTTTCGGCTTTCTGTTCATTCTTGCAATATACCCAGATGAGTGCAAGACGAAAAGCTGTAGTATGTATGTATGTATTTGTTGCTATTCTTTGATTTGCCAATCATCTCTTTATAATCTTAGAATTGAATTTCTTCCCAAAGTTGGCTTTCTCTAGGTAGCAAAGTATGATCGATTATAGGTTGACTGTATCAATGTTTATCAGGTATATATCCAGAGGCTTCTGGTATTTACCAAGAAACTTGATGATCATGATCTGATTGTTATCTACCTCTCAGAGTATTTTTTGCAGGTGAATACTTAGGGTGGTAATCTCTCCTTCTCATGAATTTCCTGCATATAGAATGCGTCTTATTGTGTACTGAGTAAACCTTCATCTGTTTATCTTGTCCAGTTTTCCAAGTTGAATGAGAAGGGTGAGTCGTTGCTTCATAGGGCATGCATCGCAGGGAACTTGAAACAAGTAAAGAAGCTGATTGAACAGGTGAGAGTATATATGATGTCATATGTTGTGTGGTTATTCATTGCATATAACGATGATAATAATATTCCGCTTTTATATATCACCCAATACATCAATACAACGATGTGTCTAAGCGCTTTATAGATGTATTATCCACAGGCTGTGTGTAAACTACTGGTATCATGTGCATGTTCACTTTAACTGATGAGATGTTTATTTTTTTTTGCAAAAAGTAGAGTCCATTGAAAAAAAAATGATGCACATAACGTAATTACAGTATCGTTATATTTGATTGTGTATCAATTGACTGAATGTTCTATGTTTCATGTTTACAAAAAAATTGTTATACCAGGTACATTAAGACAATTGTTTTTTTTTACCTTCACATAAATTTAAGATGAAACAGAGTCAATAGTTCTCTGGATGAATTATGCATAACCTGTCATTTTTCTTTATTTTATTTTTCATGAAATTAATTCTTTAGGGACACCCTATGAACCCCAGGGATTACTGCGGATGGACCCCTCTCCATGAGGCTTGTAACTATGGTTTCACGGACGTCGTTGATGTCCTCCTGACCTCTGGTGCTGACATCAACGACCGCGGAGGAGAAAAGTGTGATGGCATGACTCCCCTCCATGATGCAGTGAACTGTGGGAACTGGCCAGTCGCAAGGTTACTAATAGAGAGGGGTGCTAATACTAATGCCAGAGATGATTCTGTGAGTATATGCTTTTCTCTGGAGTCATGTTCATGTTTGCAAGTGCATTGGTGAAGATGCACTACACGCAGGTTAAGTCATAATCGGATGATGAACAAGACTTGTTGAGTCCATTGTCCATCTCATTGTGACTTAACTAAGTGCAGTGCATGTCATTATTGCACGAGCTAAAAACATGTAATATTTGTTTTATAGGATGGATCTACAATATGAGTATAAATTTGAAAAATTGACCACAAAATTGGATCAGAAAGTCTAGAGTCGCACATCATGCAGTGCGTGCAGCTCAGCCAAACAGTATGTACATGAACAATGCGCGTCTCAATGTGCGCATCATCAATGCATTGCATCGTGTCTGAATTTTGAACCATGTTTTGAACCCATGATGACGTGGATCAAGAGTGCTGCATTGAGCTTGCATAGTGTTGCACACAAGTTGCGTACTTCTACACAAAAATTGCATAGCCGGGCTTGATGGACAAAATTAAAGCATAAACATGTGACTTGAATGCAGGTTTGCCATTTGCTACATCCTTGAACTCCTCTTATAAATGCATTTATTAGAATTCCCTGTATAATCGACCTTTCAGAATATTATCCAGATAGTTTATTTGCAATCACTACTACTATTACTACTCAAAATAACATTGAAAGTTATCTTCAAGCTCTCACTAGACTTGATATTCCATTTTAACTGCTGATCTTACTTCTGTGTCTACAGGGCAAGACTCCTCTTGATGCTCTGAAGACATGGCTCGAGGCCTACACCACTGAGATTGATACAGATACCAGGGAAGAGTGCTTTCTGGTTGCTAGAATGATCAGAGAGGGCACCACTTCAGGTCAGTCATACAATTATATCCAAACTTGCTACAGTCAAACCTGCTTTAACGACCACCTGTCAATTGAAAACGAACTCTCATTGAATCATGTACTAAAGGAACCTATACATAAGGACCACTTGCCTATAAAGACCACTTTTCTTGTCTCCCTTAGGTGGTCTTTATAGACAGGTTTCACTGTATTACACTTACAGTGTCATTTGAACCAGAAATGAGCTTTAAACTGTGAATGTTTGTGATCATGCATCACTACGTGTTTAGTATTTGCCAAGGCCTGGTCTTGAAATGAGTTTTAATGGATGCAAATCAGATGCAAATCGTCCAAGCAAGTTCAAATTCATTTTTAAATAAGCTGTTGTTTATGTTAGGAATTGCAATCGATATCAAACTCAAATTGAGTATAGATAGATAGATATGGATTATATACATCTGGGAGATTATCTGTAGGTCCAGATATCAGCAGACAGACAATAGAGACTTGGGTTTGAATGGATGCTGTGTAGACAACTATTGCTTCACTCAGTTCCATGTATTCAGACACAATATTATATATTGATACATGTATTATATTTTAACTTTTATATGTTTGCTTTCCTTAGTATATTTTTAATGAGAGTATTGAATAAAGTGAACTTGAACTTGAACTTGAACTTAAAGAGAAGGTTGAGTTCTGGGAAGAGGTGACAAATAATTTGTGAGCGTTATCATTCTTATTATGCAAGTGTGGAAGAACATCAGATAAGACATGTTCCCTGAAAAGCATGGCTCTTCAAATGCCTTCATATTCTAAATATGTCATGTAATATCATAAAACTCGGGGGTAGGACTTTTACGCCACATGTTCGTGTTGTCCCATATACATCTTTTTGTGTACAGTGTTTGTAACTTTACCAAGACTTGGCCAAATTTCTTAGACTTGGCCAAATTTCTTATCATTTTGATGATTCCAGAACCTTGCAATACACACAAATTCTTATATGCTAGATGATCAACCTTTTCTGGTCGATTCCACACCGTTTTTTTCACAATGCAATCACATGACCAGAACTCAACTTCATCTTTAACTACTGTGGCTGATTTTTGTGATTACATGACATATTTGAAATATTTTGCACATTTCGTGACAAATATTGGAGGATCCTCCTTTTCAAATTTGAAGTAACATTGGCATGCTTCCTCATCTCTCTTCTATGATAAACTTTGCAGGTAATCTTGCAAACAGTAAAGTTCCACCAGTGAAGAAACCTTCAGCCGAGTCATTTCTGTTGAACAGCGACCTCTTTGACAGGGAAGAGACATCGAGTCAGGCATCTCAACAAAGGACGTTTGAAGCATCTCAGAGAATCTCTCCCTCGCAGAGATCGGGACGAGACGGTCAGTCCATGCTGGGGAAGAAACGGAAGCATGTGCCTCAGAGGGGTAGAGATGAAGGGAGGAGGTCTGTAGGTCGAGCTGCTGTAGGTCTGGCCTCCAGGAGGAATGCAGCGCTGTCTCTGGGCAGTGATAGTGAAGACGGAAGTGATAGAACCGATGCGGTGGAGATGATGAGTCTGGATGAGGATGAGGAGGATGGAATGGTGGATAGGACAGGTTATAAGGACAAGTCTGCAAGGCAGAGGAGATATGATGATGAAGATTCCTTGCCAGAGGTAGATCTGGGAACCAGGACTAGCAACGCAGTCAGAAATTCAATATTAACTCAGGATAATAATGATAAAGCAAACAACCCTGATAGGGTAACAGAGAGAAATACAGGTATGGTAGATTTGAGGTCAGGTACGTTAAGTGATGGGGATGACAGCGATGAGGATGTTATGCCTGGTTCTTACTTAAACGTTGATCGCACGATAGATGTCGATCTTCCATCTGATGCTAGAAAGACATACAAGGATGTGATACAAGGAGTTGGAAGTGCAGCTACGAGGATAACTGAAGCACCATTTGAGGTTGGTACAGGGAGTAGGACTGATACCATGAGCGCGCTAGTCTGTGAGGAGAGTTATACCGGTGGTGACGATTGGTTGGTAGAGGATGTGCCGCCACAGCCACGCAAACGTCTACGTGTAGACATGGAGGGAACCTTCCGAAACATGTCATCTGACCGAAACGAAAGATTAAACCCTGACTTATCAGGGACAACAAGTGGACAGAGAACTTCCAGTTCACAGGTTTCTAAGTCATCCTCTCGATCACTGAGCAGGAAATCTAAACCTAAACAAGCTAAATTAACACACCTAGGAGTATCCGTCCAGAGAACTGCCTCTGAAAGAAGTCTAGGAGACGGCTCTGCGTATCAGACTGATGATGATGATTTTGTGATAGAGGAGATCCCCACGCAAACACAAAGCAGCAGAAGTGTGACACCTACTCAGAGGCATCACTCATCAAGTTCATCCGCCAACACGTCGATTGAACAGCACCCTCTATTGCCTGGACCATCATCGATGATGCGTGTACAAGTCAAGATCCAGGACAAGCTTCTCCTGATTCCTGTAAACTTGAGGTTAGTAACCTTCCCTTAGAAAATTGCTAATGAACAAAGCCCTGTGTGAACATTTTGAAATTTTTGGGGTCCGGATTAAGATTTGGGGTGCCCATGTGTTCCAGACTCCCAGGCACATGTTAGTGTCAAGCCCTGATAATGGGAAAGGATCTATGAGGTTTATACATCATCAGGTACTCGGACCATACTTCAGAATGGGTTTTTGTAACCTATCTTTTGGTACACTAGAATTAATAATATGGCAATATCTTTCTTTTTTCATATAAACGTTTAGGGATCGTCCATGCATGCAATGGCTATCAGAGCAAGCATCATCTCGCTACTACTCACAGTGTGGACTAAGACCGAAGCTGTCTCTCTGCACTCCAGAGGGAGCCCTATTTTCTCCTGAAGACTCTGTCGTAGATTTACTCAACAACAATGAAATGGTAAGTCAACATTTTCAACAATTTATGACTTGGGGAAGGTCTATTCTCGTTAGAGGACCTATGATAATATGCTATCTATAAATACATATTGAGTGGTACCCCAAGGGAGAAGGCACTCAAAAGATAAACAGAAGTTAATGATATTTTTTAACACAACAAACTGGAGAGTTATCAGCGACTTCTCAACTACGTCTCAATCCACAGACCAAACTTCCAATTTTAGATTTGCATACATGTAGACTTAGTGATATCATATTTGAAACATTCATAACTTTTGTTATTATTAGTCCGATTCATTTCGAACTTTAGCTTTCTTTTATCTTATTTTCTGCTGACATACTAATGAACTTATTATAAGGGTTGGATTGCCCTTAAACTCATACTTAAAGGGGCATGTTCCCCGTATTCCAGAGGGCGTTCAAAATACGTATTTGCTGGCGGACGGTGCTATAGCTGCCTATTGACACCAACAGAATACGGCTCTTATGCAGATGGCATGTTCCAATAACTACACTGGCGGGAACGTACCCCTTTAAACATAGATTTAACACCTCTCTGGCTGCAAACAGACAATATATATATAAGAGGGCTCTTTGTTTCAACATCTACCTACCTTTGACATTGTTAAGCCATGATAGGTTGAGGTACCCACATTTTCTGTAGAGAAAAATTGTGTGTGGTTTACTTCTGCATTTATAGTTCCCCCTGTTTAAGATTGATAATTTGTAACTCTTGTTTAGCCTGAAACCTTTTTTTCTTCTTCATGATTTCATGTCAGGATGATATCTGAGGACAGTATTTCTCTAAAGATCTCATTTTCTTTTTCTCTTTGACGATTCAGGTTGTAGGAAGAGTAGATGCATGGGATCTTCCCCCGTTGACTGAGCGCTACAGAAAATCCTGTGAGAGGACCAAAACTGGTATGTCAAATATTTGAGTGCATTGCAAATCTAAGATGTTTTAGGGCAAATTTAATATTAAATTTATGTATCCAAGAACAAAATTGACAATGAACCATCATTGGTATGAAATGTTACAAGTACATGTATGAGCATTAACAAAGTAATACAGTGTCAACTCATTCCGAGTAGTAGCACTGTAGCAACTGGAATGGTATAATGTAAAGGAGGCAGTCATAGGTGACCAGTTAAAAACCAGACTGAAAACTCTTTTTTTCAACAGCAGAAAATAGCTTAGTTTAAGCTGTTGTTATATTTCTATTTCTTTCCCTATTATCCAAAGTGCATATGGACTGCAAAGTGATATGTTTTATATTAATAATGTTAATCATTATTATTATGTAATAATTTATATTGTATAAATTCATTTCTCATTTGTAATCCGTGTACCTTGCTTTTAATTTCATATCAATTTTTTTTAAAATACACATAGGAGAGAACAATGACATCCTCACAAGACTTCAATCTTACCAGACCCAGCAGTCCCATCACAGCTCTACCCTAGACCTCTCCAACCTCTACCTCCGTCCTGCACCCCTCCTGCCCCTCCTCTCGGCCCTCCAGTGCCAGTACTCCCTCCGTGTCCTCCTCCTCCCTGGGAATCGCCTTGACGATGACTCCGCATCCCAGCTGGCCGCCGCCCTCAAGACCCTGCCGAACTTGACCCGAGTTGACCTTTCGTGCTGCGGACTCACCTGTGAAGGGTTAAGGGTCATTGCGGATGTCTTGGATGGACCAAGGGGGCCTGCAGGGGATGGCTTTGGGGCTGCGATGGGAGGAGGCAAACCACTTCAGGTGAGAATAAAAATTATTAACCATCTTCGCCCTAGCTCCATTTGATGATTAGCACTAGATTTTGTACTATGCAGTGCTGAAGATATTTGCATGTAGTAGAAATAGTACCATCACCATGACATTTTGTCTATGTGCTTTATTTGTTTACAGAGTCTAAAGGCATAAAGAAATGATCGCATTAAGACATCACAATCATGTATGAATGACCACTTAAAATTACTGAATATCATAGTCATCGTAATATAAGAATTAATTTTGGAGAAATGAATGAGAATAATCTATCAAAGTGGAATATTACGACCAGCATGGTCCACAATTTGCCGCATGACCAGGGGACGATTTGTGCTTTAGTGTATAAACGCAGTGTGTGAGATGCGACGGGGCTTACTTTAGTGATTGTGTCATGCAACATTACTTGCTGGAATTTTTTCACTTGTCGTTATTTTCGGATCAATGAGTGATTCATAAAAAATCACAAAAACACCCCCCCCCCCTCCCTCCTGCAAAAATAACTGATTACTGGTATACAGTAAGTTGTTTCTTTTGGTCTCTATGGTAAATGAGTATCAAATATGTAGAATTCATTTAAAATTCCACAGCTATTAGAAGAGCTGGACTTGAGCTACAACTACCTCACCGACTCCAGTGCCTTATCTCTAGCAACAATTGTTAAACACTGCCCTCTGTTGACAACCCTGTCCGTGAGGTCATGTGATCTGACAGCCAAGTTCTTCCAGCTTCATCGGCATAAACTTGTAGAGGCTTTTCAAGGTATGGTTGGCAGTTTCTTGTGGAATTTTTATATTTGTATGAAATCTAGTCTAAGATATGAATGTACCATGTGTGGTTTGAAGAAAGAACAAGATAAAAAGTTCAATGGGATCTGTGTGATTTTACATAGACTTTTCAAGGGAGACAGAAGCAGTCTATATGTTGAGGTTCCTAAAACACAGGTTTCAGTGAGAAACACTGATGAAAGGAAAGAAATATGTGTTATTTGTAGACAGGTAGGCTCCCTATTCGTCTGGTGGCTAAAGCAGGTTTGACTGTACGAACTGAATGTCTGTGTTTAACCTATTTTCCTTGAATTCTTGTACATATTTACTGTTAAGTACAGTTTCTTTTTCATGGATTGTTTGTTTTGTCTGTGTATAATTTTATTTCTGGATGGAAAGTGCATTGAGCTAAAGTATTTTGGATTTTGGACTACATTAGAAACAATTGTATGTGTGTGTTGCATGTACGTGTATTTTTAAATCATCATATACTTGTATAATATGTATTTATATGATAGGATACCTTAATGTAAATGCATGTTGAATGGTCATGAGACCATCTCCCACCTTATGTAGCTTCCAGTGGTCGTCAAAGTTCAGTAATATTCTCTTTTGATCAATCATGCCTGTTATTTTAGGAGCACTCTCTCTCCACACCCTCCTCATCTCCCACCACCTGTTGGGTTCTACAGGAGTAGAGCTCTTACTAGGATGCCGCTCAAACAAGGTCCTCCAGCATCTAGATCTCTCCATCTTGAACACGTTTAGTAGTCTTGTCAGTTCAATAATATTCTCTTTTGATATATTATTTCAGGAGCACTCTCTCCACACCCTCCTCATCTCCCACAACCTGTTGGGTTCTACAGGAGTAGAGCTCTTACTAGGATGCCGCTCAAACAAGGTCCTCCAGCATCTAGATCTCTCCATCTTGAACACCTTTAGTAGTCTTCTCAGTTCAATAATATTCTCTTTTGGTCTATTATTTCAGGAGCACTCTCTCTCCACACCCTCCTCATCTCCCACCACCTGTTGGGTTCTACAGGAGTAGAGCTCTTACTAGGATGCCTCTCAACCAAGGTCCTCCTGCATCTAGGTCTCTCCAACTTGAACACGTTCAGTAGTCTTCTCAGTTCAATAATATTCTCTTTTGGTCTATTATTTCAGGAGCACTCTCTCTCCACACCCTCCTCATCTCCCACAACCTGTTGGGTTCTACAGGAGTAGAACTCTTACTAGAATGCTTCTCAACCAAGGTCCTCCTGCATCTAGATCTCTCCAACTTGAACACGTTTAGTAGTCTTCTCAGTTCAATAATATTCTCTTTTGATCTATTATTTTAGGAGCACTCTCTCTCCACACCCTCCTCATCTCACACAACCTGTTGGGTTCTACAGGAGTAGAGCTCTTACTAGGATGCCTCTCAACCAAGGTCCTTCAGCATCTAGATCTCTCTAATGTGATCGCATCTAGGAGTGATGGCATCCATATCGCTAGACACCTTGTCAAGTACTTCTCAGAGGTACATACATGCAGTCAAACTTTTCTATTAAAGGGATCGTTTAACAATGTTAAATCTGAGATACACGGTCCTACATGTTACCAGTGTCTGTGATATGGTGTAATATTGAAGCCCTAAAACAAACCGCACTTCAAAATGATCAGGAAGTGCCTCAAAAAAGTAAAAATCTTTGAGTGACCGGTTTTACCATACTCATTTTCCCCAATAGACTGTAGTGTTATGAAAACTGTTCGGTGAACGGTTTTCAAAATTTGTAATTCCAATCATTAATATCTTGATAATCAGACAGGCGATCGGCTTGTAAAAGTCATGGAGTTCCTGACTGACCTAAAGGTTTATAATTATCATTGCAGCATGAGCTAAATCAAGGATTATTTCTAAAGGATCTAAGACAAAGTTACCGGATCCCTTTAAGGTTGCCCAAGGGAGACAGGAAAAGGGAAAAGTGACCACCATATGCGGGTGGCCTTTCTAGACAGGTTCTACACTACATTTTTGTTATTCGATGAAAAGAACACATGGCCACCTTTATAATGCCCTCTTAAAGAGGTGGCCACTAAGAAAGGTTTGACTACATTCAGTATTGATGTAGTAATCCATTGTGTGGACATTACAGTTTCACTTTAAAAAAAAATTAAAATAGTGTTTAAGAAAATACATAGATTTATCAATATATAGGGATGCCAATTTTCAGGCAATAGCCTGAATTCAGGCCCGGGCAATCTATTTTCAGGCCCTCTGATAAATTCTAACTGGCATCCCTGAATATAAAATAACAAAATAAAGTGCCTTAGTTTTTACACATTTTGCTTTGTCATTCATTCTTGTATCCTTGCATAATTTCATGTCCATAAAATATCTAGGAATTCTGAATCTCTTATGTGAACTACATGCTAAACAGTCGAAAACAGAACAATAATTGACCATGTCTACAAACTCCATATACATGACCTTTATTTTTTTTCAGGAGCCAGTGCTTGACAATCTTCATCTGTCGGGCTGCCATCTTTCAGATGTCGATGTTGATTATTTAAAAAGGTAAGGTGTAAAACTTATTGATGTTTACAAATTCATCGATGTCAGAAAGCAACTTTGCGGCCTAATTAAACTGCAAAATTCATTAACGATATTTCAAGAATGCAGTGTGAGAAGACAAAAATTTGGGCCAATTATATACGAGAGCAGCAGGATTTAAACTGCAAAGATAAGGATGTTTATATGTACTTAGGATTGATACTGTCCCTATTAATACACACTGAGCGTAGTCTTGTAAGCATCCAAATTCTGGAGGAAATGTTATACGTTCAACAATAGCCATTTCAGGATAAGGAAATGATAATTGATTGTAAAACCAGTCCTTTATGCTATACATGTATATTACTCTGTGCATGCCTGCTCGTGTGAAGAAGTCTATCTGAAATAACATCCCTTTATCCTTATTCCCACTGCAAAGCAGACTTCAGCCCAGCTCAAAACACTGGAAGAACTTTGACCTATCGGCCAACCCGCGACTATCATCCGTTGCCCTGAGTGACCTCCTCCTCTCCATCATCCAAGATTCCATCTCCATCTCCAAACTGGACCTCTCCGGTTGCCTCATCCAGTCTCCCTTGGATACCCTCCTCCTGGATGCCTTCACCAGGCTCCTACCTGACCCCTCCCTGCAGGTCAGAGGTCATGAGACGGATGACCCCAGGTCAGGGTTGGCGGAGCTGAGGCTGTGTGGGACGGAGCTGAATAAGGTGGACAAAGAGCTTCTGATGAACGTGTGGAACGTTGCTCACGGGACGCAAGCCGGACATCATATCGACGCCAGGAGATGCATCTTCTTCACAACTAAACCATGAAGGATTCGCATCTGATTTGGAAGACAGCGATGAGCACAAACACTTCTGTTTCTCAAGCATGGTGTAAATATCACCCACTAGATATCACCTTTGGTTCTAAGAAGTGAATCAAGTTCCTAGTGTTAGTATAGCAATCGGATAGCCTTACTAAGCTTCTTCCTGCAATACCCATATTCCAAAACTATTCATGAATTATATCACCTTGCATTTCTTTACTATTCATCCATCAGTGTCACTTTATTTAGGGCCAGTTTCCTTTTCATCCTCGGCATGGATAATGAATATAAATTTCTTGTTTTTTTTTAAGGTTGATTAATATATAGAAGAGTTCATTTCTATATTAGAAGTGGAAATTATTTACTTGTCCACTTGATTTCAAACTTCTCTTGGATCAAGTGGGGTTGATTCATAGCATAATGCTACTACAATTAGTCATTTAGATGTAGTTTAATTGAATTGCAATATAGCTATTGAAAGAGTATCATACTATTTCACTATTTTTTTACCAAAGAGTACATGGTTTGTAAAGGTTACCTTTGTTTGTGATGATCATTATAACTCTTAAAAGTTATGATTAAATGACACCAATGTAGTCCAAAATGTAGAATTGGATATCAAATTTGAAATGCGTGAACAATGGAAAGTAATGACATCATTTTAAAGATTTTACCGTCAGGAAAATGTTCACACCTTCAAATTAGATTTTGTAGATACACAAACGGCAAGACACAAATTAAATGTTCATTGCAATATAGAGGCCTGTTGTAAGAAACCCCAGTGTGTAAATCACATCAGAATTTACACAAAGAATATTGCAGATGAGATTCACACCTTGATTTTTCCTAAAGGGGAGTTTAAAATTCATAGAAAATCTGCTGAAACGGAATCAGAAACCGAGTGGTGAAAAATTTCACGAAAAATGGGACAAAGATTTCATTATATTGAAGGTGTCATCAAAATAAAAGCCTTCATTAGTACTGAGCGACTGTGTATAATTTGTACAAGGACAAACAATTATGCCATCCCACCCCCCTGGGGAGGGAAGGGGTACATACTTCAGAACTCTGAAGAGTTTAAGATACTCTTCCAACCCTCACCCTTAGGAAATTATACAATTTGATTGATTAAGTTTCCCATTTTCATTAGATCCTTCAGTTAAGGTCAATGTTTCATACAAAGAAATAGTTTCAGAAATTGTTGTAGAATCTAACATTTTTGATTGATTATCTGTTAATGTTATCTGTGTGATGTTTGATTCCTTATAATTAACTTGTATCTTATTGATGACTATGCACCATTATATCCAGTCCATGTAACATACTAAATATCAGGAAATATAATTTTATATTATTGTTTTATACATTATATAATGTGTATCACTGTGAACTGAATGTCCAATTAAAAACTCAATTTTACAATGGAATTGATTTCTTGACAATTTATTTCAGTTTATTGTTTTAAACTCACAAAAACATAAAGGTACATCGCAATTTACAAAACATTGGCTGCTGAAAGCCAAAAGGGCATTAACTCCTACACTGACAGAAATAGAATAAACACCCTTCTGGCTCTCAACAGACAATACTGTTGAAGAACATTATTTATAATCACATGAAAAAAGGCACTTCATGCTAAATGATTTCATCAATACAATTACACCTCAATTAAACCTCTCCAAAAAAAAAAAAAAAATTCTCATGTCCACTTTCTATTGCTTATCTTTATGGACTTTTTGGGGGCCATAGTCATACACTAAAAATTATTTCATACAATGAATGTAGCCTAGTACACATTAACAAAGTGCTTTACAAAAAAATAATTCATTGAAATTATGAAATCAGGATAAATATTGTAAATAACTATCAATAAAACAAATGTAAATGGTGTGCTTGCTTCTAATATAGTCTCATGAACACATTGCAAGTTTATCTCGTACAAAACATGATAATACATGTATACAATATTACCAAAAAAATTGACAGAGTTGTGCAGCATTTAATCATAGGATTTTCCTTTTCTTTGGTCTAGACTATCCTTCAAAATATAACATCATCCTAATCAGTTACAGATTGTTTGCCCTATTGCTTATAATCTAACAAATTTCCATAATGTGAATACATGCGTACATATTTTAGATTTGTTGATAATAATAATTATAAAAAAACCCAACTTGCACATATTCATCTTCATATTCCACGATGCATGCATTGTATTGTATACCCATACACAAACCATATGAATAATATACATGTATAGTCAAACCTGCTTTAGTGACCACCTGTCTACAAGGACCACATTTTTTGTTTCCCTTGAAAATGGTTTCTCATTGAAACATGTACTAAAGGAACCTGTCTACAAAGACTACTTTTTGTGTTTCCCTTGGGCGGTCGCTATAGACAGGTTTGACTGTACTACAAAATGATGTTCATATTCCACTCATACGTTGTTTGAAATAAGTCATGTATTCATTTAAGAAATAAAGCGCTGAATGTTGGATGACAACGATTTCTAATAGTTGATAAAGCTCTGTTCAGACATGAATACCTAAATACCACCTAAAAACGACCTCCGCAAAATTTTGTGTGTAGCTAGGTGAATGGTAAGAGACACTGTTTAGGGGGGAGAGAATCTCGCCTGCTTGAAACAATGTATACTCACTGCTCTTTGTGTTATAGAAAGAGAAATGTGCACGCACTATGGGTCATTCCATGAAGTTGAGGCAAAAAATATTACGGTGTCCATGTAACGTTGGTACGAGATCTACTACACATGGAAGATTTTTATGCAATGAATATATATTATAGTAGTGCCTTGCCAAAATCGTTCCTGTTTCACTGAGTTGCTTTCCTTCAAAATATTTTTACCAGCGTTACATGGACACTGCATAAACTTTATGTCCATGACAATGATTCACCATGAAGCTCAAGTACTTCTGAAGATAGTTGGCTATGCTTTTGATGCAAAACTCAAGTTGAGCAAACATTGTTACAGTTGATAGGAGACATATTTTCTCACTCCTGGTATGTCACAAAAATTGCCCCAACTTCTTGGAATGACCCTTATCTCATAAAGCTTTTCCTTGGGAGGTATCTTTAAAGCAGTTGTCTGAACGAGCCTAGAATGTGGAGTCGAATGCTATAGCTTCGTTGTCACTCCAGTGAGGAACTGTTCAGACTCTTTGTTGAACTCGTCTGCGTATCTCAGGTGAAGGTTGTGCTTGGCCTTGGGCCATCTTATCAATCTGTGAAAAAAGATGGGAATTAGAAATCATCCACAGGAACTGATCAAACTTTGGTTAGAAAACTGTCACGGAGTCATAAATGGCCATTTTGCACCAAATTCCAATGGATGCACAGAAATCACAATTTGTCATTGTTTTCTTTTTGTTTTGAGTAGCATCGCAGTTTCATGTTTATAAATATATCAAATCTTTTTATGTTTACAAGTTTTTATTGAGGAATGCAACAGTATACAAACAATACACAGCAGTGAGGGCATTAGTAAGAATTACCCACACAATGTACCTTTGGAATAGTCTTGAAGGTACCGAGCGGGGGTAATTTTACTAATGCCTGAACAAAATGATGTGTATGATTTGTTTTATAAGATTATGTTTTATTTATTTTTTGAAATGATGTTTTATAACATAATTTTGATAATGACCGGTCATTACCATTGGATCATGACTGTACTGGTCATTATCCAAATTACGCGTTAAGCAAAATAAATGTCTGGTCACATGTACGCTCTCAACCAATCATTTAATTAGGATCCACGTCATCATCTTATAATGTTTAATAACAAAGAGCATTAGTCATTTCTGTCTGTAAATGGCTAATTTCTCGAGCAACTTTCTCCATTTCCGGGTGAATTCAACATAATATTTCAAAACATGTGGGTCAATCTCTTCTGATCGGCTAAATTTAATGCTTGTGCTACCATATCAAACATAAATTAGGTGAGCAAACACCTTTTTCATTGTGATACCAACTTTTCATGCAATGTCCAACTTCAGATTTAATATGAAGGGACTATCTCCTTTTGTCTCAGAATATCAGATGCTCCATGAATATTACAGTTCAAGCAGATTGAAATCATTGAACCAACTATAGCATAGAAAGGATTAACGGCCAAGAACAGCACAGCTCTTGACGGGCAATGTGAAATCCATGGGTTCAAGCCCTGGCACACCATGTCTTTTGGCAAGACATTAAACTACATTTGCCATTCTCAACCCAGGTGTTAAATGGGTAGTGGTAGGAAGGAATTCCTTGACAGTGTGAGCACCGAAGATGGTAGCCTACCTCGGGCCGGTGTAATATTGGAGTGTCTTGAGCACCTTGTGTGGTAATGTAGTGATAAAAATATGCAATATCATTATCATCATTTGTTAAGCTCGACTTACTTTGAACCTTGGATTGTGTTATGAAGAAACTCTGGATGTTCAGAGACCACCATAGCATCAAGGTCACCATGGACTATCAGGGTTGGACATTGGATATTCTTTGTTTCCTACGATAAGAGAATTAAAATTGATATGAACATCGTTCTTATATTTACACTACAAAATGTGATAAAAGCAATGTAAACCAAATGTAATGTAATGCAAATTCATGCACAAAATTTCATTCTTTCTGTATGTGGCTATTAAAAAACATGGAGTACCAGGACAAACTTCTGTATATTTTTGGAGGCATGAGATCACGGTTAATATGATCACTGCTAAAAAAAAAGCTCAGATGGGTAATCCATGTCCCATGTTGTGATATATGTTCTTATTACAAACATGCATTTCATTATCTGAAATCCATGTACCGGTACATATAACTAACTAAATGAACTTCTAGAGAAATAAATGTAAAGCAGTAAACTATTCAATAATAAAATCAAGAAATTACATAACTAAAAATCCAACCTTTATAAGTACACTTATGACAATGTATCATTAGTGTAAAACTAAACTAAACGTGAAGAAAAATGAATCATATGAATTAAAGACTTTAAACTCTTGCCTTCTTGCAAAGGTCTCCATCATTCATTGAGGCAAGTTTCCCGAGTGCATCGCACCAACCATGCCATACTTTCTCAAAGTTCTCCTTTCCATAAACGGCTTCCATCGGGGCTCGCATCCTTTCACTCCAGTTGCTAACATCACGGGTTGCTAGAAAGCAACAAAACAGTTTCTTAGTTAGGGCAAGCATGGCAGATTTTTAAATAATTTTGTTTGCAACTTGAGATAACGGTGCATAGAAATCACAGCCACTGTGGAAAAACAGTTTGAAAGTGTGAGTGAGAACTTTCTGATGCAAATGGGTGATTTTCAATTGATAGTAATGCTTTTTGTCCAAAGTGTAGATAAGGGGGTACACCTTTTATATATACGTAAATTTGAATTCAAAACAAATAGTACTCGGCAATAATAGTCGTAAACTGACTGACTTGCCTAAATTGAACAACAACAACAACAGTAACATTCATATTTTTAGCGATGCTTGCAGCTTGGTAAATAATCAATTACATACATGTCAATGTAAACACCACAGGTTGACACATCTAAATCATACTTTCAAACTTCTCTTAAAGCCCCTCTGCACTAGTTTGGCCAGGATGGATTAGACCCCCCCCCCCCCTGCATGGTCACTTACAGGTGGTTATCTCATCAAATCAGCTCTCAATTAACATAAGAAAAAGGGGTGCATGGGGGACCAATGGTCACCGGTTAGGCATTGTTTGCTATATAGAGAGCGCATTAGCTATAAATAGTGCAGTGGGGCTTTTAACCAACTTTTCAGCTTACCTTCGTAAAGCTTTATATCATCTTGAGTGACGTACGAGTTAGCTCCCCATACAATAAGTTTCTTGACATCATCTGTGTAGGTTCCAGCAAGAATCAGAGCTGTAATACCCCCATCACTCCAGCCCATCAGAGAATATTTCTTGTGTCCCAAGGCCTGTAGGATCAATGAGCAAGATATATTAACATTGAAAGTACAGTCAAACCTGCTTTATTTAGTGACAACCTGTCTACAAAGACCACATTTGGGGGTTTCCCTTGAAAAAAGTTTCTCATTGAAACATCTAAAGGAACCTGTCTACAAAGACCACTTTTTGTGTGTCAAACAAAGGTTTGACAGGTTTAACTGTACATCAATAGAGAACATTCTGGAAGTTCATTTCATGGTCTGACATCAGATACATGTAACATTCTATCACTATGGCAGGGTTCCACAATAACATTTTTTTAAGGAGGTCCGGAATGGTGGCTTTAAGCAATCTTACAGTATCATGTCTGAACAAGGCTTAGAACAATGAAAGAGAGGACATAATATATTGAGAGAATAATATCCCTCCTACCTGCATCAGATCCCTGGCATCTTTGGCATCCCTGTGGAAGAAATCCAAGGGGAAGTCCCTCACTGGTGGTTGGGACTTCCCGTATCCTCTAGGGTCAAAGGCTACGACTGTGAGGAGATCTCGATTCAGTTTCTCCAGCTGGGGTTTGAAATCAGTCTGGGTTGATCCTATGAAGGGAGGAAAGGAAGAACTTTGTCATCCTTGCTGATTAAACAGAACTTAATTGATATGATCAGTAAAACCATTACGACAGATCGTTAATTAGGACAATGGCAGGTATAAAAAATACCATATACTGACTCAAATAATTTGGCTACCTTGGTGGTAATTAAAGGTGATGACTCCCCCCCCCCCCCCCCCCCAAAAAAAAAAATACAAATACAAATACAAATACAAATGTGCACTGGCAAATAAAGTGGAGGAATTAATTAGGAAAAGACATGGATATTGGATACAGGGTAGATCAACAGTGTGTCCTTAGGTAGATGATGTTCCAGTAAGCAATTACACCTTAATTATCAAGTACCCGAGAGAGAGAGGACAATAGGGCTATTGTTCACTTGGCATTAACCAAAAGGTAACCAACAGGCCTACCTGCTTCCTCATCCATCACTTAAATACAGAAGAACAGAAGAAAAAACAAAAACATCCCGTTCAGGGTCCTATACGGTTTTTCTGCTTTCGTTGTCTAGTTGTCTATTTGGGTTGGATACCTACAGGGCTGATAACTTGTTATCAATAATAAGTTACAATAACTGTTATTAGGTACTGAAATTGTGGCATTTGATTACCGTAGCTGAGAGCAAATTTGTCATAGAATTTGAGGATTTGTTATTGAAACTAATTTTATGAAGCAGGGCCCTGCTTTAAATTAAAGGGGTTTGGAAGAAAAGAAGACTAAAATAAAATAAATTCCTATTTCATTCTTACCCAGAGCCCCAGGCATCAAGAGAACTGGTTCTGGACCATTCCCTACTTGCTCATAATACAGGTTCACACCATTCACTCCCACTTTGCCAGATGAGATACCAGATGACCTGCAGCACAAAGGAAATTATCTACTCAGACTCAGAGTCGATCAGAAAAGAATGTCCTTCTGATCGACTCTGACTGAGCTACGGTTAACAACTCCCTTGATTCTTAACAGATGATATCTGGGAGAGATAGATAATAGACAGAGGATATTAAGTAAAGGAAAGACAGTGAATGAACAAAGTAAAGAGAGGGTGAAAAGATAGAGATTCTGTTAGTGTTAAGTGATGAGGAAAAATAGATGGAGGAAGACGGGCCAGGATACAGTCATACAGATACAGATAAAAACAAAGAGATCGAGGGAGGCCGGAGGCGGAGGTGAGCAAGAAAAAAGAGAAGCAGAAGGAGAAGAAGAGGGAAAAAGAAGAAGAAGAAGAAGAAGAAGGAGGAGGGGGAGGGGGAGGGGGAGGGGGAGGGGGAGGGGGAGGGGGAGGGGGAGGGGGAGGGGGAGGGGGAGGGGGAGGGGGAGGGGGAGGGGAGGGGAGGGGAGGGGGAGGGGGAGGGGAGGGGAGGGGGGGAGGGGAGGAGGGGGAGGGGAAGGGAGGGGGAGGGGGAGGGGAGGGGAGGGGGAGGGGAGGGGGAGGGGAGGGGAGGGGGAGGGGGAGGGGGAGGGGGGAGGGGGAGGGGAGGGGGGAGGGGAAGGGGGAGGAGGAGGAGGAGGAGAAGAAGAAGAAGAAGAAGAAGAAGAAGAAGAAGAAGAAGAAGAAGAAGAAGAAGAAGAAGAAGAAGAAGAAGAAGAAGAAGAAGAAGAAGAAGAAGAAGAAAAAGAAGAAGAAGGGGGGGGGGAGAGGAAAAAATAACAGGGTCTAGATCATTCCACTTATTTATTTAAAAGCAAGATCTAGATCTAACTAGTAAGTCTACCTACCTAACGTTGCTTGTTGACATCTTTGCACACATTTGAGCACAGTATGCTGGTGATGGTGCCGACAACTGTGATTTCAGAATGGATGATTTGCACAGAAAAACCCTCCCAATTCTTGGTAGAATCATTTCTGCAGCTCTTATCTGCTTTGACACCAGCTTTTATGAGGTTAACACCAGCCAGTGACAGTGCATAGCATGTAACAATCTACTAATACGCCCACGATCTAACTCCTTAAAAGCGCAATTTGTTTTGAAGGCTAATCGCCCCGGCCGCGTTATTTTTTTATGCGGCACAGATTGGGGCTTTTTTTTAAAAGGGGTCTTGATTTACAGACTAATAGTGGTCGTGTGCGTACTAGTAGTAGAGGTCTGTTTTTAATAGTGTTACATGTAATCAACTACCGTATGAAAAATCATTACATCAACAATTAAAATGCAATTGGAAATCTGAAGAGGAGGCAGCACGTCAATAAGAAGAACATCACAATAATTAGTCAATAAAACTTAATAAACTTAAACGAAGAGGAATGTTATCTAAACACATAGTTCGCGATGGATATTCAAACTTCTTCGCAGCGCTAATGCGCTAGCGAACATGCCTAGTCTCACGTACGTGCAGACATTATTCAGAAGGGAAAGAACGTACTTCCCATAGGCTCAACACGCACCATGCCCCAATCTGTGCCGCATAAAAAAATAACGCGCCCCGGCCCCTCCCATCCACAGTCGAATCCACTGGCCGCGCCCACTTGCCTAGCTAGTTGGCCGACTTGCTGAGCTGCGCGTATGCGTTAAAGATGAGTTGAAGTAACCGCTAAAAATTTTCTGTTCGCATAATTAATGCAATGCAGAGGAGAGGAAATCCAATATTTTTTCAGGGAGTCTGGCCTGGGGGCGACTTTTTTTTCCGTACCACGGCGAGCCCAGCTGATTCCTATTATATAGGACGCGGCCTGGGGCCCGTTTCTCGAAACCGTCATAAGTCTAGCTTCTTGACTATCCCATTGAAACGTGTGTTAATGGGATTTGGAGTGGACCATTAAAGATTATTATGATCATTATTATTATTATTATTTGATAGTCAAAAATTTAGACGGTTTCGAGAAACAGGCCCCCGCTATATTATAGATCACTCCGTTTGGACAGGGATATGTGAGTTTAACTCACATATCCCTGTCCCTGGTTTTTGAGTTGAATCCTCTCCGAAATATTTTGAAATCCACTCGAAAGTAGGGGTTCATTTTTGAGTGGATTCCAGTCAGTATTTGGAGCATGGATTCTGACTCCAAATCTCACTTTCGGTGGACTCCAAAGAATCGGTACAACTAATGCCCCTAATTATCCCATTCAAAATTATGTCTTCCTCGCGCCGGCCCATATTTCGCTCAGTGGGGGGGGGGGGGGGGGGCCGGGGGGGAGGGGGAGGGGGGAGGGGGAAGGGGTAGGGGGAGGGAGAGGGTGGGGGGAATAGTGATAGTAAGCAAAATTCTTTTTTGAGGGGGGGTGTTTTGGGGGTTACCCCCCCCCCCCTCTGCGTACGCGCCAGGCCTGTGTGCTTATACTGTTTCATGGAATTATGTGAAACTTCAAATTTCAAGATTTTTTTTTTCTTCATGCGATTGTGATTGAACTTTCATTGTTTTGTTTATTAATTTGTTTTTTCTTTATTTAATTCAACTTGTAAATAGGCCTGAATTGTTTTCTTAGATTGTTAGATTTTATTGACACTATCGACCCCCTTATATGAAATTAAGAACAACGTGTGATATGAACAATGATAAACATAATATGATAATATGAACTAAGACAAACATGTGATAATAATTATGAACAATAATATCATGTGATAATTATGAACAAGGACAAACAAATAAACATATCAAGGCGAACTGGGCAATTCACCCTCCACATTGCTTACTTGTGAGCTATTACCATCTACCCTTGACTCTTTTGAAAAAATTGACTTACTTAATTAATTATTCTAACAAATTTTGCTAATTTCTTTAGCTGGCAAGCATGAGCTGTATTAAAAACCTTATGATCATTGAATGAAACAACATACGTCATACGTGTAGGGGTGTATGTTGTGTATTTCTTTAAAGACACCGTACTGGTAATGTATCGGCATTATATTTTGTTTTGTGGTCGGTAATTTCAGATTAATTGAGCTGTGGCAAATTTGCTTTGACTTACTGGCAGATTTTACAGTTACACGTGTGCTGATTCTTTATTTTCATTGAAAATGGCTACAAGAAGGAGAGGAAATGTGGACAACCAGCCGCCCAGTGTTAGTTTAACTGAAGGATTACCGTCCGTATGGCAGAGAGCTTTCAGCGCCAAGTCACAATGGCCTGAGAAGGTGCGTTCTTACAAATTCAGTGCACACAAAGATCGGTGTCCCACATATTGCAAATAATGTAACGTTAATTATCAATTTAATGGCCCGAAACTGGCGTAAAACGAAATTTTGATTACGTGAGATGTGCATTAAAGTCCAAAGTTATACCTCTATACACATGCTAAATAATCAAACTGATTCTAAAACTGCCTTTTAAGTCTGGAATTTTTTATTGAACTTCTGTTGCTTTTTAAAGATGAAGTTGAGTTCTGGTCATGCTATTGCATTGTGAAAGAAACGGTGTGGAACTGACCAGAAAAGGTTGGTCATCTAGCATAGAGGGTCTATACGAATTTGTGTGTATTGCAAGGTTCTGGGATCATCAATGATAAGAAATTTGGCCAAGTCTTGGTAAAGTTACAAACACCGTACACAGAAAGATGTATATGGGACTACACTACACGTGGCGTAAAAAGCTGCCCCCCCCCCCCCCCGATTTTTACGATGTTACAAGCATGTTTAGAATATGAAGGCATTTGAAGAGCCATGCTTTTCAGGGAACATGTCTTATCTGATGTTCTTCCACACTTGCATAATAAGAATAAGTAAAGCTCACAAATTATTTTTCACCTCTTCCCAGAACTCAACCTTCTCTTTAATACCTAGAGTCTAGAAGTCTATGTTATTGTTAACATTTTGACTTGTCATGTCATGATCATGTGATGTATGTTGAATTGAACTTAGTTTGGCCTTTAAATTTTGGCACCTTGTTAACTGTAACTGTAAGTCATATTCAGTGGTGCCAGAGTCTCAGTGCAGTGGAATAACCATTGATACAATAGACTGAAGCTTTCGGTCTATCACAGACCCATCTTTTGGTCTACTTGCTTAATGAGAACAGTGTGTGATTGGGACCAGCTTAAACCGGAGGCTATCGCTCACACTGACCCTGTCCCTGTCAAATTCAAAGTAGCCCTGACGTCCCCATTTTCAAATTAAACCACCCTATTGGCACCTCTGGTTAAAACTCAGACGAGTATTTTGGAGGACCAACCAACCAAGTACCAAGTATGTGGTGCTCATAGGTGCCGTATGCATTTCAGCCATGGTTAACCTTGAGACTAAGCTGCAGTCGTGCAGAGGTAACTTTTGCCAGAATAATTGGCAAAATCAATGTAAATCAAAATTCTTGTACAAGCATTGCTTTTTAGTGGACCCCTCTGTTTCCAACATGTATTTCTTAAATTTGTTTTAAATGCTTATAATTGATTTGTAATGTTTTGTTGGAAACATGAATAAATTTGAATTGAATTGAATTGAATTTAGCAATCAGCTTTCACAATGTAGTAAAATCATCTAAGTTCACTACATAACCATTGATAGGTTCACTGCTGCAATTTTTTTTTGATTGACTGTTCACTTTTTCTATTATTTCAGGATGAATTTTTAGATGTGATCTACTGGATGCGACAAACTATAGCTATTCTAGCTGGTTTGGGCTGGGGCCTGTTACCTTTTCGTGGATTTTTCGGAATTGCAATGTAAGTGTGTTTTTATTGATACAGTTGTACAAGGTTTCTTTGCCTTTGAAATTCTACTAGGAAGGTACAGATCGCCATTCATGTGCACTTTTAAAGTGTAACATACATTTTTGCAATAATGAATTGAATGAATGCATTTTGAAATCTAAAAAGTACTAGATGAATTTGTTTCATCTTAGTAAATGTTGGTAAATAATGTGTATGATTACTGCACTAATTCATATTCATAGTCTATCATCTTTTGAAATGCAGTTGTGCACTGTTCATGTTCTTATAAAGTGTAATTTATAGTCGTACTAGTAATAGTATGAAAGTCATAGTGAACAAGTGATTTCATTACTGATGAATACCTATTTATGAATAATACAAGATATTAAATGTTCGCTTGTAAGTAAGCCTGGGAGTGTACTTGGGTACCTCATTACACGGTTATGCACAGCCTTAACAATAACTCAAACATGAGACGTAAGCTTGATACCAAGATGCAGAAATGAGGGGTTATGATTGGTAATGGCTTGTTTTTGTTTTTTCCCCTTAGTTTTTGTGCCCTGAACGCTGGTATCTTGTATATCTACTTCACATCATTTCAGCAAGTTGATGACGATGACTTTGGTGGACCTTGGGAACTCACTAAAGAAGGCTTCATGTCTTCATTTGCATTATTTATGGTATGTATAGCTTTTTGTCTATCTGTTAATTATAACAGTTTGAAATCAAAGGTAAATCATACTTATTATAGTCAGGAATACTATCTTTCAGGCAGTTCCATGAATTCATGCTCTCTGTCTCATTGTGAGGCCATTTGAAGGTTATGCGAACCTCACTCTGGCATATCAATTTTGATTTCATTTAAAGTTAATTGGTATCCTTGCATAATGAATCGGTAGTACATTTATATACATTGCCTTTTTCATATCAGTTTGATGTAACACAGAAACAATTGCATCTTTGGTTTATGTTAGTTTTCTTTTGTGTTTATCTGGCTCTTCTGTTCCCCGTCTGTCCCACATTCATTGCTGTTCATTTTCAGCAATTTTGTCAAGTCAAAGCCTTCCAAATAAGAAATTAGATCATATATCTTTTTTTTTTCCTTCTCACATTTTATTCCTGCAGGTTGTGTGGATTATAGTCTACTCTGCAGTCTTTTTTGATTGACAAAGTAACAGAGAGCGGCATTTGTCTCAACTGGTTGCCATTAGACATCAAGAACTAATCAGTTATCCTGGAGTTACTCTCCTATGGGAGAAAAACATGGCCGCACAACCTGTAATTTTGATACAAAGGAACAATCAACATCCATGTTTTGAATCTCAATCTACTTTTAAGCATTCCATGTGTATGTTCATTAAGGAGTTCCTGCAATGCTTTCCTATCAAGTCATCTGCAACGTGACTTCTTTTGAAAGGGCAAAGTGTACGAAATGCTTGAAAACATACTTGGAAGCACACTCAACTGACTGCAAAATTCACACAAGATATATATGGGAACATGATGCCGTTCTCTGGACCAGTTATTATAGATGTCTACATGCAAGTGTTCATTAGATAAGAGGTATTTGTCACAAAATGAACAAGCCTTGAAAGGGACAAGAAAAAGTGTTGCACGACTGAGAAGAGAGAGAGGCAAAAATGTAGGTTTGTGAAAAACTAGAATTCATGCTTAAAACAGTAAGTAGTTATGCTGCAAAGGTTGTTATTCTCAAGGTGCATACTCTGATCATACAACTTTTCTTTACTGGGAGGTCCATTTCTCAAAATGCTTTAGGTTAATCTGAACATGTAATGTGCAGGTTGGAAATTTGTTAAACCATAGTTGCTAAAAATTTAGAAAGAACGGACCTTGTAATACTTCATATTAACAAATTTTAGAATAATAATCACAAACCGTCGATCTGGCGCTGCTCAGTGGCTGTTGGGCTCACGATCAATTGGGCAAAAAGAATTTCCGTTTCGGTTTAATAAAATTTGGAGTGGACTATTAGGCTATTATTATTATTATTATAAACCATATTCAACTCCAGATTTTATACAAAGGGAAAAATCATCATGGCCTAAAATAAATTGGATCTCGAAATTGACATTACTATTGAATTATGATTGAAGTATAGCTGCAAACTTATTTGATGTCCCGAATTTGAAATAGCGAGATAAAGGTATGATAGTATAGCCTAGTAGAATTGCATTTGTTTTTTGTTGTTCTTAATTGTATTTATACTTGTTTTATGATGAATTATACAACTTCAAACTTGTTAAGAAAAGAAAATAAATAATTAAGAACATGTTCACAATTTTACTCATCATTTTGTTGTCGTTTCTTTCACCTAAAATGTCTTTAGTAGAAATGTCTTCATGTTTTTTTCTGTCGGTGTAGTTGGTATTATTACGACTATTCACAGCACTGTGAATAGCTTTCAGCCATTCAGGTCTACATGTGTGAGAAATGACAATCTTTTTTTTCAAACCTGTAATTTGTGCTTGAGCTTAATTCATCTATTTTCTCGCCTTGTTGGATGTGATTTGATCCAGTGTATTTTACATAGACTCAAGTCCGAGTCATGGACTCTTTATTCACGGGTACAAAATTTTCTCTTTACTCGATTATATAACGTGTGAATAAATCTATTAATATCCACACACCATGAAAGTTGAAATCAATGTGTGCGACTACTGACTTGGAACATACTGGTACAAAAACCATGACCATGTGATCTGATCCTCGTAGTGAATAAAGAAGAATTTGTCAGTGTCATATTTTTACATTTTCTGCATGTATTTGGTGTTATATGTGTATACATGTAATTGTGTCCATACACCTTTGATACAGGTACATGTACTAAATTTAATATATTAATTATAATCATTAACTGATGATAAGAATGACAAGTTAAGACATTCTCTTTTAATAGTCAAATTTCTAATTATTTAACTTCAAAGGCATTTGCAGCTTAAGTGTATTTATATTCACAGTTCTTCTATAGAGTAAAAATTCTTAAAATGGCACAGAGAATTACAGTAACAGTTGATAATTTTAGGCATTTTAGAACACTCTTGCATACAAATATTCCCCCATTTAACATGATTATGTTGTGAATATAGATCAAATTGATATGTAAAGCTCATGGCATTAAATGTATTGGTTAGCTATAGTGGTTATATTCAGCACTTGTTTTCTTTCTCATTATTTTGTTCTCCATTAGTTAGGAGAGCTCGGTTCTCTTTGATCTCCATTCATCTATTACCTTGTAGATAAGTTACCGGTAAGCGCTTATGAGTTTAGCATTCAATGTAATGTAATGCACATGAAATTAAATGTACTGATTAGCTATATGTGTTATTGTTATAGTCGGCACCTGTTGTTTCGTTTCTAGATTATTATTTTTTTCTCCATTAGCTCACAGAGATCAGCCCTGCAAGTAGCAAGTAGGAATGAATTCTCATTACATAGAAATGTGTGTATTAATCGATGCAATTGAAAAGTTTGAAATACATGAATTTGAATAAAACTTGTAAAGAAAAGTGTAATAAATTTAAGTTTTCATTTTTAAGATTTGTGTAATTATATGTTCGTGCTCCAATAGATGTTTTTATTTTTGTAAATTGAGTTGGTTATTATCAAATATAATGGTCTTATGAGTGGTTGTATGGTAAGGAAAGGATGATAAATATAGCTGTAGAAAAGAGCAGGTATTGAATGGAACACGTAATAGAAGGGTGGAGAGAGAGGGGGACAGAGGAGAGAGGGAGAGAGAGAGAGAGCGAGAAGGGGAGTAATGTAGATTGAAAAGAGGACATATTCAAAGTCCTATTAAGTCCATTGTATAGTGCTTGGCTTGGACCTGCAATCTATTTTTTATGATTATTAAATAAAATGTGTGTGTGTGTGGGGGGGGGGGGGGGTAGCTGTTAATTATCTTTAAAGTTATTTCACAAAAATAATTGATCTAAATTATATTTCACAATCACTTTATCAAAGTAATAATGATTAAATCTGTTTGTAAATGTGATATAATTAACAATAAATCCATAACAAATTGTGCTTTCGGGTAATTGGTTTTTAATAATACAATTTGTTAGTAAAATTGCGTGAAACTACAACACAATGGCATGTATGAAGTGGAGAAAGGACTTGTGATATAAATAAATTCACGAACGATTCTCTATGGTATAATATGCATGCAGTTAATGGCCACTCTTCAAGAGGGGAATAGGCGACCTTCAAATAAATATGGAAATATGTATTTTCACACAAACCAAATTCGCTTTGTTAATGACTCATTTTAAAAGATAGAGGAGTCGATGATTAACAAATTTCAATGAAAATAATTCAGGAATTTTCCCCTGATTAGTATGCTTCAGTTTTCCAACCTATTTCATGATCATGCTCAGATCGTATCGCGTATGGTTAAGTCATTGTTACGTCATCATTTTAAGTACGCGCTTGCGCTAGCGCGCTACTGCGCTGTCATGTCTTCATAGCAACTTCTTTTGAGCAATCATACGTTTGATAAACAGTAAATTGAGGCGAAACTGTTGACAAATCATGATGAAAATTGGATAACATTAATTATTATATGAATCATGGATATTTTTGATCAATTTCTCATTCGAGGAGTCAAGATTATATTTTTGAAAGGACCATCTCTCGTTATGGAAGAAAGACAACTTCTTGGAGAAGTGATGTGAGTAGCTTTAGATCTAGATCGAAATTTCTGTAGGTCTACTTTTATTTTGTTTACTTTTACTAATTTTACCCTTCGATAATGCTATGATAACACGTCTGTTGAAGACTACTTAGATGTAATATTTTTTCTTTTCAATTCTAGGTTGAAATACCCTCTTCTGTTCAGGCTTTTACCACAATCATCTCGTGACGATACAATGGAGTTCCTTAAAAAGGTAAGGCGAAGAGCTAGACTACATTTGGATGGCATAATATGGGCCCGAGGGGGGGGGGGGGGGGGGTTGGGTGTACTCGCATATAAAGACATAATTATGGGACTGTGCCGCTCTAATGGGTCCCATTTTTAACAAAAATATCCCTAGAAGTAGAAAACAAGGGTGTTTTTGCATGGCAAACGCCAGAAAATTGTGAAAAATTGGCCTTTATTTCGAGAAAAATCCCCCAAAATTAATGATCCCTTAAAATGGGGTTTCAGGCTTGAGCGGCACACCCCAATCCAAACCAAATCTGAGAACCCCCCCCCCCCCCCGGAATTTGGGTCCAGGGCCCTGCCGTCGAGAGGGCCTTTAATTTATTTGAGGCTAGGGGGCCCTGGCAACATGGTTTAAAATCTTTCAGGTGTGGATTTAGTTCCGAATGTAATGGGGGAAGGCGGGGGTGAAGGGGGGGGGGGCACATACATTGATGTATTTCCAGACGTTGTGTGTCCGGAAAGGTTGTGTAGACTAGTCTAGTCTAGGACAGTTGATTTAAAAACAGACATTTGAAGACGTTTACACGCAATATTTCATAAATCTTTTAAGCGCCCCATTTTCACCTCTGGTGAGTGCCTTTTTAGGTGCGAGAAATTCCCCCTTTCTTATCTGATAGTTTTGCCCTTTTTTATTTTGACTCGTGCCCCTTTACCCTTTTTTTTTTATATGAGCACTTTCCCCTTTTAAAAATGCCCCTGTCAAAATCTGAAAGGGGCCCTATTCCTTCAACAGCGGAAATTTCCCTGCGCTGTCGACGACCTGGATCCGTCAATGAAATCAATATTGTATGTGGTGTTTGTTATTAAAATGAGTGGCAATTAGGATAATTATGAAAGGAGAGGAGAGGGGCATCTTAGTCCATTTATTATTCTTCGTTTACAAGTTTTTTCATTTGAAACTCAAACATGCTGTCTTTTTACTTATATGTCAATATGTTCATGATAAGTAATTAGTTAATTTCTATCTGCCGTATGGTATGTTCTTTCTCTACCTCTTTCTCCGATGTTCTTTGAGTATTTGTGTATGCATTTAACATAATCGAGTAATTCATGTCTTCAATGTCATCGAAACTATTTTTTAAAAATATTACGATCGCTTGAAAGAAAATGCTGGATCTGGGTGTACAGAAGGTTGACGAACTGAACTGCTTCCGGGTGATGAACGGCCATCTTTACTGGGAGATGATGCACTCGACACCTCTCTCGGATTTCGATTTGGCGCTGGAGGAGTTTCTGTTCAGAGAAAGACTGGAATCGGCTGTCAAGTCTCTTGTCGACAAAACGGGAGAACATAGTGATACCAGTTATCCAAAAATCGCAATGAATGTGCAGGAACATGTTCAAAATGGTGAAAACCTTAGAAGCACGAGATACCAGTGCACAGGAATTTATATAGGTGATAATTTAAGCAGAACTATTCACCGTGACCATGGCAACACAGAAAGTTTTAAGGAGGATGAAAGCTTGCCAGTGGGACACATCTTTGGCACTGATGTTAACAGTACTGGAGAAGGGTTCCAAGATTTCAAAGTAGAAAAACGTATTAATCACACTCATGATTTTCAGAATGAGCATCGGGCCATTACATTTCATACCGAAAAAGAAATTTTAAAAGTTAATGAAATGGGGGAAAACAAAAGACATGGCCAACACGATGGAGCAGTTTCGTCCGTGAAGAACAAAATTGATTGGAACTGCCAAACTTTACCCTATTACCATGGTAACCAGCAATTTAACGTCACTTGTCCTATTTTCAACGATGTAAATCGAAGCGGGATTAAAGCCTTTCAATTATGATCAGTAGATTCAACTTTGACCTTTTGCACGTTCTCGTTCTCGTGAGAGTTTGCTTTGTTACTGCGTAAGTCCTTAAAAATGTGCCTTATAACCATGTAATGGGAATACCTTGTACACGGTAAACTACAGACGGTATTATGAGAAGAAATCAAAGTATTGGACAGTGCCAAGAGAAAGGAGAGGGTAAACAAAGGATGATAATAGTTTGTATGGGAGAAGAAAAAACTGATTTTCCTCTCTCTTATTTAGGAGACATTGACGAGACAAAATTAAAATATTTAAATTAGTTTTCTGTCCTGTATACACTATTGCAGTATTTTGTATACCATGAACAGTAGTTTATCATTTAAATAAAAAAGATATATTAATGTTTACGAATAAATGTATCAAACTCACTAATTATGGAGTTACCTGTAATAGTCAAGAATCATGAGAATTAATAAGCAAATAACTACCGTTGGTGAAGGTGATGGGACAAACTATCACTTCCGAGGCGATCTGGATGTAGCTATCTTTCCGAAGCAAAGCTGAGGAAAGATAGCGTATACATTCTGATCGACGAGGCAGTGATAGTTTGCCATCGCCTGAAACCAAAAGGTGATTATTTGCTATATAAATTCCACATCTAAAACAATTTAACTACAAAAAGAAAAGGACGTGTATGCATCTACATGAAAGACACCAGGCCCAAATTCACACCAAAAAAGTTAAAAGTTTAACCAAATCCCTTGAGGCTACGGTGCGCGCATGTGTTTGCTTAATTGCGCTCATTACGCCTGTTTTAGTGCGCTTTTGGATAATCTTCAGTGAAAGTGCGTTGCCCTGTGTAGATAGTACCTCTATCTTCAGTGAAAGTGCGTTACACGGTGTAGATAGTAGTACTATCTACACAGTGTAACGAACTTTTTGCTTCTCCCATCAATAATGAGCGAACTATTTTTCATCACGTGATTTACTTTTGACCAACCGTAGAGCAAGAATCGTCCTTGTTTTCACGAAGTGACGGTAGTGAGGAAAATCGTAACGCAAAGTGAATGCAATTTTTTTTCACTACCGTCACTTCGTGAAAACAGCGACATTATGTGGAATATAATAATATCTATTCTTTGCAATAGGTATATAGCACACGATGCTAGCTTTTAACACCCCCTGTTCGACTATTCACCACTTACTGGGCACGTCACCACTAATGACAAAGTCTAATAGGAATATAGGCAAGAACATTATATGATGATAATTATGTCTTGTACATGTATTTCAATCTTCATGCATGTAGGCTCGAAATACAACAAGAGTGATATTCTATTTTGTTTTCAATAATTAAAATCATTTATTCGCACTAAGTTCGATCAAGAGATTTTTGTTGTTAAAATCAAATATCAAAAGGGTGTATTTGAGCAAATATCATCTAATAAATAAAATTGATACCGAAATGAAATCGATGTCAAAACGGTTACGCAGTTTCCATTTATTTACGAATGCGCTGGAATGGAAATGACTCGGAATCATTTTCTCTTAGAACATTCATACATTATTCATGTAATTTACAACAGGGCAATGGTATTTAAGTTGTTTTAATCACTGCAATGAACATAATTTATTACACATTTCTGTCATGGAATGTTAGCATATATCACACCTCTCTTTAGTTGGATTGTATCCATCGAGTACATGCTGGCAATCAAGAATTTTTATACAGAGAAAACACAATACTTCTTAAAGGGGCATGATCCCCGTATTCCAGAGGGCGCTCAAAATACGTACGCGCTGGCGGACGGCGCGATAGCTGCCTATATTGACACCAACAGAATACGGCTCTTACGCAGATGGCATGTTCTGATAACTACACTGGCGGGAACGTGCCCCTTTAAATTTATTGTTATGATACAATATGTAATTTACGGGTATAAAATATACATAAGATTAATAATTCCGAAATAGAACGCATTAGAGTGACATCATTATATACAACCTACAGTAGTTAATTACAATTGTATAACAATCCATTTATATCATTGATCTGCATTAGTCAAACAGATTTAAAATCTTGCTAAAAAAAGTAAGATTATACTACTGTATACATTGGAATGTAGTGTGATACGATTTAAAAAAAAATCAACGTTAATTTTAACGAAATTTCAGGGCCCCTTTTTATAAAAAAAATATTATCCGAATAACAAGACACGATAAGTGTTGTAAGCTACTGAAATCCCTACGTTAATTTGATTGGCAGGGATCAGGAAAAAAGTCATAAACTATGGCAGTTGCTATTGATAACAAGTTTTAGGAAACGGGGCCCAGAAAACTGTATTATATTAATTGGACTGATACATGTATGTTGTTCTTGTAACATCGTAATACCTCGGTTGACATATCAGCCGATAAATTACTAGTGATTCAGTACATTGAAAACACGGCTTTGATCATCGTTTATTATATAAAGTATCTATTTCATTCTTTACAAATGCTCACTTAATCTGACATGTATATGGCATAAGAATACAACAAAATATAAATCGTATGGTTTATAAAATAGAAACCAATTTCTACTTGCTTAAAGACATTACTTATCGGAGGGACAGCTAACCTTTACACAAAAACAGTACGTGTACTTTAAAACGCCGAGATACACTTCACTTTTCTACAAAGCTTTACATAAATGTGCTCCAAGATCACAATGATTGTACAAATATTGCATGACTGTGTAGACTTACGTATTAAATATTTTAGAAGTACTGGTCGAAATATAACTAGATAAAGTGCAAATATAATATATTCATTAAGACTTGCAATTAATTAAAAGCTCTTTATAAACGCGGGTATTTACACACTAATCTCATTTCTATCGACGGTAACATGATTTGAAAGATAAAATAAATATATACGATAATGTGAACTCATATAAATATAAATAAAATACCTTTTCAAAATAAGACATCAAATGTCACTGAACAATAATTGTTATATTGTGCTATAAGCATGCGACGCAACAGGCATGTTACATTGTTAGTCTGTTCGTTTATCGACTCTCAGTCATAATTGATATATAAAAAGCGTTTGTATAAAAGTAGCAATTATAATCGGATGAAATTAAACCAAAAATAATAATAATATAAATCCCAAGACACTGTCATTTGTTTTCCAATGAGGACAAAAAGATAATAAATAGTATATAAAATCAGTAGTTATTATTTTGTCAGTTCTGAAATTATTTTGTATATCTATTCTTCACTTAACATTGGTAAAGTATGTATTTGATATGTCATCTTCTGTTTGTAAGTTTAAAAAACCCTAAAGCTGATAAACATTCGGATTTGCAGAATTTAGAGCATAATTCCTTTTTACGTTATTTAAATGATAAAATGGCAACAAGTCATGTTCACTTCCTTAACATTCAGGAGATTATGGAGTGCGTAAATAACTGTTTTTAATGACCGGACGGAATATGATTGTAAAATGCTGGACCGCCTATAAATCATAGATGATCTCTCTTTTAGTACCCGACAAAGATTTTTTTTCTCAAGATAATAGATAAAATATCAATCTGAATTAGGAATGGCTTTGATATTTCATCTCGGAGGTAAAATGATAATGATAATAATAAAACGAATTTAAATTGCACTAGAGAGACCGAATTCCAATCATCAATTTAGAAAATAACTTTGAGACGAAATTAGTGTTCTCGAAAGTCCTTTGTTTTTTTGAAAAAATCCCTATCATTTACCATTTGCGTCTATGAATTAAGAAACCATTTTTACTTAAAAAGAAAATATCTTGGAATGGTGTGTCGATAAAACCGGTAGCTCTCAGTACAAGTCTGGATGGAGGAAGAGGACGAGAAGTATGTTGAATAAAATGACGTTAAGAGAAAAGACTAGCTGTACCGCGCTGCTTCCCTTCGTCTCACCGATGTCAATACTAAGACTTGATTCAAGGCTTGTCAAATCTTGTCTGATAGCTGCAAGGACGACATCAGCGAGAAGCATGCCACCATCATCTATTACATTTTTGTATGAAAAAGAAGGGAGTGCGAGAAGGAAAGCGAGACAGAGAGAGACAGACAGACAGACATAAGACAAAGAAATAATCAAATCAATTTTTCTTAATTTTAATTTTCAGAGCTTTTTATATGTACTGTATTCCATTCATTACCAAACTTTTAATTTGCGTATGTGTCCTGAAACATATGTAGGTAAACTGAAGAAGAAAAAATAATCAGGGTACAATCGCTTTTTTTTATTCTTACGAGAGTTTAAAATAATGATGACTTAAAAAAACAAGATGGTCTTGAAATACCAAGTATTTGACATAAAGAGTAACAATTAGAATATAAGCAAGTTGAATCGAACTTTGATTGAGATTCAAGTGAATATGGAACGCTATACGACGCCATTATCTTATGATGGACGTTACCCAAGCAAGCCAATTCTAGAGGTTACAATTCAACTTTAAAGCGGCATAAAATATATATCATTACTATATCCTCGTCTCTTTTCGGCCCTTGTTAAAAAGTATCTCCTTACCTTCCCGACATACTCCCGGAGCTACGGGCGAGATCCCGGTCACTTGTATCCAGTAGGCTGCTGATGTATAGTCTAAACTTTCCTCAGGATAATCATCACCAAGGGTTAGACCAGTGCTAGAAAAGTCGCTGTAAAAACAAAAGATAAATTATAATCATGCAGCTGATTCTTGTTTATGTTTTGCGATTTTTTTTCTTCCTCTCAGTGGCTTCACTCGACCATAGACATTTATACAGTAGGCTTGCGGTTGCACCATGTGAGAGAGAGAGAGAGGGGTGATTGAGGAGTCCTGAAAAGGACTCTCGGTAATCTTTCTTGAGGGTTTGTAGTCCCGAAAAGGACTGTTGGTGTAGTCTTGAAAAAGACTGTTGGTTATCTTTCTTTCTTAGCTTATAGTTCTAAGGAGAACTATAGCGCTTGGAGGGATGACTGGTGCACCCGCAAGCCTATTGTATATCTACATCACCATGCAAGCCGATACTTACAAGCAGCTTGTATAGACATTGTCGACAGATCCGCCATAAAATGATCCAAAATGTACCCGCCCCATTCCAATTTTTTGGCAATTGGCTGACACGATTCGAAAATTAATTGCCGACACATAAAAAGAAGGGGGTATTGGATCATCTAGTAATTTTGGATTGGGGTGGGGCAGGGGGCAGCTTCTCTCGGTGGAAAAAATCAACAAGCATCAGAAAAGCTGACCACAACATGAAAAAGTGACTACATTAATGAATAAGAAACCAAATAATATTGGAACCGCTGAGTTTGCTTATTGTAAATGTGTGATGTAAAGCTGCTTACTAACCTCTGTAAATTAAGATTTCAATGTGGTTGTTGCCACATCAGACAAAGGTTGAACAATTGTCGTCAATCATCGAGAGTAACTTCTGAACCATGCAGTATTTATACAACTTGAATTGTGTAATTGGTTATATGGACCGAAGTTTTAAGACTCAGTTTCTAACATAGTCTTGCTGCCTTATTTCATTAGAGTAATAGCTTCAATTTTGAACTTCAACGTGTATCAATAACACTTTTTACACAGTTTTGTTTAACAACTGAAATATTCGATTTATTTAAAATCTCACACGACAGTATTATTGGCGGCTGGGCAGCAGGTTGATTGTCGGGTACTGCAGTACTCGATAACGCTTGTCTTCAGGGCATTCAGTACATCGGCTTGAATGGAATTCCACTGCAAAGGAAGAGACAAACAATTAAGTTAAAAATCTGTATCAGGGGAAGACTGGGACTGAAATTCAGTTAGGGAAGATCGATGTGAATGCATGGCACACACAACCTATCGACCGGCATTCAGAACACAATTTGACCAGCCTTTAATATTATTAATACAGCCAAAATAGCGGCCCGTGACGAAAACTCCCCTACTTCTTAATGGTCAGTCCGCCCCTGGTCTGTTTATCCAGTGGCAGACCCAGGGGGAGGCGGGGGTGATGGGGGTGGGGGGGGGGAGGGCGAGGACAGGTATACGCTCATGGCTCTTGCCAAATTCGAGACCTTTCGTTGACACTTTTCAAAGATTTTGGATACAAATGTGAACCGCCCTCATAATTATAGAATCCTGATCCATATCAGGTTAGAATACTTAGGTTACAAAGAAAGAAAGGTCATACAAGAGCATTATCCTATGAAAATACAGTCAAATATCTAATTACATTACTTGCCAATAACACTCCTTTACCTAATGAAAGCAGGACCTACTGTAATTATATACAGTAGGTCTTTTTCAGGAGAAAGAAGGGCAAACAAAGGCGCACAATCCCTCCTTCAAAAACTTGAAGAGATTGAAAGAATGCATTGATACTCACATCATTTATGTCTTCATTTAGAAGAATGAGAACTCCATTCTGTTTTGCAGTAGCTGCATCTGTATTTTGAATATTTTAGAGCATTAAAATTCCAATGGTGAAATGATCAAAACGATCTTCAGATGGTAAACAATGCTAGTATAAAGACTGGTTACACCACATGCAGAGGAAACATCACGAAGGGGAACTTAGGTATCACAAACACACCGGGGTTAACATTACTGTAATAATCATTCATTTGAACTTAACATTGCGCAATCAAAGTTTCCGCTTATACAGTCTTCTTTTCATGCAATTTAGTTACCAAAATAGCTTTGCCTTCTATAATATGTCTGTTTTTATTTGCTTATCACGTATGCATGAATGTCATTTAGTATATCATTATTTTAGTACAGTATAAAATTACATATACATCTATATATTTCCTTTAAAATCAACAAATAAGAGCCGTAACATAACACCGATATTTTCGAGGCAGATTCGGAAAGGGCTTGATTATTTTGATTTCGTTAGGAATTGGAAACTTGGTTGAGTTACTTAAAAACATGCAATAGCGAAAATAAATAGGACATGCAAAACACAGCAATAAAACCCACAAAGCACTTCAAAAAGAAATAAAGGCAAACAGAACATAATGAAGCTATGAGAATTAAACTAAACAGTCTAAGCATTTTCTTTGTTTTAACCACCATGACATTTTGACTTTAAAAAAAAAAACACCGCCATGAACCAGCATTTGATATTTCCTTCTTTTTTTTTTAAATATGCAGATGAAAAAAATCTTTTGCAGAAATACGGAAGCAAAATAATGCAAAATGATGATAATTATATGCAATAAAGCTATCAAACATACGCTGACAAATGTTTCCATAATAACTTCTGGTACAGTTGCATCTACACATTTCTTCTTCAAAAGCCGAATCATGCAGACAGTTTGAAATAGAGCAATCACTGGCAGCAGTCGTGGTGGCAGCAATAGGTATCGATGTTGTAGCCTCGACTGGATCATAAAATGTTGTAGACAATGAGTTTATGGTTTGAGTTGTTGTCTTTATCTCGCCTCTTGTCGTTTGGCTCTGCGTTGTAGGGTTGCGACCGAGGGTTGTAGGCCTTAAACTTGTTGGATTGGGCGTTGGTTGCTGCACTCTTATTTCCACGGAGTCAAATTTCACTCTGAATGGCGTCAGCTGGGAGTCAACTCTATTCCTAGTTAAAGTGACACGGATTCCGAATCAATTTGACTCGGATTGTGTGGCATCAGCTGAGAATTGACTCAATTCAGAGTCAATATGACTCCTTTTTCGTGTCACTTTAACTAGGAATAGAGTTGACTCCCAGCTGACGCCATTCAGAGTGAAATTTGACTCCGTGGAAATAAGAGTGTGTGCAGGTGTTGTTTGAGCTAATTTGGCATTTGGCGCGTAGGTAATAAAATCAAAACACAGTGTCGAAAATTATCAGCAGCAACAACGATAGGTCATTGGATTGTGACAGGCCTAAACAATTTTATGATGTTCTAATATGGTGTATATTTTCTGAAAAGGTAAAATGTGCTTAATTTATTAATTTATACGTTGTAAACGCTATCATTAGTAAATGCCGTAGTACCAATGTGTGTGTGTGTGTGGGGGGGGGGGGGTGAAGTTCCAGATCAAATTCTAGTACGACTACCTATATACATGATTGTATATTATGCTGTGCGTTTGCAGGTGAGACAAGACTTGGTCGCTCTTTACGTGTGCAAGAGCCAAATCAAGTGAAGAGACGAGATGAAGTCTAGACGAAGTGAAAACAATATCATGCACATTTAGAATCAACATCAAACCACAATGGGCAAACACAAACCATGCATATACATATCCGTTGCACACAAAGCGTCATTTTCTAACGCAAGACTGCGTCACGCGAATTTCGCTGTCCCTGAAGCGCCACGCAGGAGAGACATCGTACAAATTGAATGCAAAACAAAAATCACAGAGCATACATTGTTTTGGATACTGGTGCATGCACTAATTTGCCTTCACGTGTATAGGCTTGATTGGCGCAAAAAATAACGCAATCGAAATGACGCCTTGAGTGTAATTATCAGGATCGAACTCTTTATAGTCGGGATTTGACATGCATATACGACAGATATACAAACTAGCTAGAGGTATGTTAACGGATGAAATTGGGAGTATACAACACCAAACACATTGACACACACGAGATTATTATTCTGTGCGACTCTGATCATGTGACATGATCTGAGTCATAATGATCATGTGCCCATTATAGAAAGTGATAACTACCATCCAACCCAAGTGCCAAGATCACTGTGCTCCGTCTTGAAAAAAATGTCAAGTTCTCGGACAAGAAATACAAATACTTAGGTCTATAGACAGAATTAACATCATCAGCGTGCCATTATAAAGTCCACTCTAAGAATTCACTTATGTCGCCATTTCCGACGACAAACCACAGTCCAAACCACCATGCTAAGTGGGTAACTCTAAAAGTGCTGAGCTGTTTAATATCAAAGACTCTAATGAAACAAGGATGTATTGAAATATACTAGAATGTAGTACTAAAGGAAAGCTTATCTTTGCCATTTTAGTTGCAGATGCATGCTTTATTTTTTTAAAGTCCCATTTTATGTATGTGGTACCGGTATATTATCACCATGGTGACGCCACAACACAAGCATTGTATTGTACAGCTATGATACCCTCTACATGATGATATGCCTGTGGTGCAAGGACATTTTATTCCCAAACTGACATTGAATCAAATATTAGCTGAGAAAGCAACTCCCATGTTTATCATTATCCCCAGTGGAGACTTATAAAACGGAGCATATTCACACGATGAAAGTAACTATCGATGCCATATCAAAGTATGTTTAAATCTGAACAGTTAAATTCATAAAAAAACAGGCCATAGTGTTTGGTACTGCTCTGGGGTTTATCTTTGTATTATCTGAAGCATTTTTATATCCACATTAATATCAAAGGGAGCCGAAGAACATGACGCCGCCATTGAATGTCGATTATTTACCCTTCTTAAATATGTATCTGTTTGTATAAAAACATGATAACGGTTTACTTTTTTTTTCTACGATTTCAAACTTGTCTAATGCCATATTGTTGAATGCAGCCTATGAAAAGATTTGATCGCCCATACTTACTACACACAAAATCGGGGTTCTCTGCATCTGTTGGGGAGAAGAAAATAATAATAAAAAATTAGAGGTATAAATTATTCACGGTCAGAAGCTAGCGTATGACCGGAAATGAGAGAGATATTTCATGGGTCATTTCTTCTTCCAAACACACACACTGTTGATAAAATCACAAGGCTATATTCTGTTTACCTTCGTATTTTTTCCACAGAATGGTATGAGAGATTAAAATATATATATAACATGATGGTTTAAAGCTTATCAGTACTAGTTTACAGGAGGGATTAGACCGCCCTACAAGGTCACTGGACAGGTGGTTATCTCATCAACTCAGCTCTCAGTTAACATAAGAAAGACAGGATCATGGGGACCAATGGTCACCGATTAGGCACTGTTTAATATAGAGAGGGCGCAAGTAGCTATACAAGTAGTGCAGTGGGCCTTTAAGTTTGTATCTTGATCATGATTTTCATTCATTTGAAAACGATAATCAAACAAAATGATTTTCATGACAATATTAGATAAAAACAAACATGTAAATTCGCCAGCTGATATTTTCTTTTATAACTAACCTTTTATATTTAGTTTTTGATGAGTTAGTTGGTTTATACAAATCCTACCCTGATGTCATTATCTGCACAATTTGATTTCATATGAGGCCAAACGTAAATTGTAAATTGCGTCATTGGAATTAAACAAAAACTTAGAGGATTAGAAACCTAAAAAGAAATATTTTGGTGAATACACACAGCTACACCCCATTACACAAAAAGATCATTATCATCATCATCATTCCTATATTAATTACCTAATTGTTCTCACCTAAATGGTTAATGAATTCAACGGCCATTATCTCATTATTTATATTATTTTGTAATAGAATCAGGTGCATAGTCATATCCGGCAGATTGAAGGGAGAGGGGGGGGGGGCTGGGGTCGCAGTCCCCTAGCATTTGAAATCACCGATATCCGGGTATTCACCACCCCATGTACGAGCATAAAGAGGTGATTTGTTATTTGTTTATCCCGACTTGTACAGCTTGACGATTTAATTACTTTGTTATACTTAGATCGCTCGCTCTGTTCGTTTGCTATAAATTTACAAATATTGAGTTGATATTAGGGCAAGAGATATCAGATCCCCCCCCCCCCCGCGCAAACGGCGAATGTCCATACAAAGGGAGTAGCTTATCGGAATTTTCTCGAGATAAACTTTATTTCAGTGCACACTGGAAGGGCAGACTCGGGGATATTTTCCTTGTGCACCTCCCCCCCCCCCCCCCCCCCCTCTCCTCCGCCAAATTATGAGTGTACATAATTGATAGGAGCATCCTCGGGCACTTTCATGGGTTTACTTTATCCGGTCCGGTCTTTTTTACCCGACACTTTCTGAAATTATTTTACAGCAAACCTACGTAAACTCGTCTCTTGGCCCGATACTTTTTAATACGAGATAAGTAATCACAAGAGTTCGTAGTCTTTTTTTCCTGTCTGGTATTTATATCGCAAACTTACTGCACATAGAGCAAAAGGCCGGGCATCCGTTGATGACGTAACTCCTATCACACCAGCTGAGGGGCCATCCGGGACTAGCTCCACAGTTCTCATGAGTGTCTTCACAATAAGCTAGGGAGGAAATCAAATCAAATTAAATCAATTATTGAAATAGAATTCAGAATTTTGGATTACCATTGTTACGAATATTTCATGAATTTGTAAATGATTGTGTGCTCACGCAAATAATACTAATTGAAGTGAATTGAAGTACACCTAGCCTGGTAATTTTCTTTTAATTTCCCGTTATTTAATTCTCACATTTGGTGTTGTTGCTTGTTCGTTGGATGAGAGAAGTACTATGTCGAACTCTACTGTCCGTAATATACAAGTAATTATAACACAGGAAAAAAACATGTTATTAATTTGCTCCACATTTCAATTTTATCTGATCCACTCACTTGCGCAATCAGAACCAAACCAGCCATCTTTACACGTGCATGTACAGTCATCATTCAGTGTCCCACAGTTTTGGCATTCGGCTCTGCATTCTAGCAAATACAAAAATAACAACAAAAATAATAATAACAATAACAATAATAATAAGAATAATCATAAAAATAGTGATGATAATAATAATGATACTATAAGAAGAAGAAGAAGAAGAAGGAGAAGAGAAGAAGAAGAAGAAGAAGAAGAAGAAGAAGAAGAAGAAGAAGAAGAAGAAGAAGAAGAAGAAGAAGAAGAAGAAGAAGAAGAAGAAAGAAGAAGAAGAAGAAGAAGAAGAAGAAGGAGGAGCAGAAGAAGAAGAAGAAGAAGAAGAAGAAGAAGAAGAAGAAGAAGAAGAAGAAGAAGAAGAAGAAGAAAAAAGAAGAAGAAAGAAGAAGAAGAAGGAGAAGAAGAAGAAGAAGAAGAAGAAGAAGAAGAAGGAGCAGAAGAAGAAGAAGAAGAAGAAGAAGAAAAAGAAGAAGAAGAAGCATGATGATGATGATGATGATGATGATGATGATGATGATAACAACATTGACTTTAAAATAAAATGCGTAATTATTTTACTTACCACATTCCGTTTCTGTGGGTGAACAATCACCTAAAATAAATGAAAAAATACAAGAAATGTATCAGAAAATTGCAAGAAATATAAGCATAAACTGGGCAATTACACGTCCATTATTTATACAATTACAACAATATTAGTAAAACCGAGTCCAAATTAAAAAATGAATAGCTGTAGCGGCCTATGACCTCGCTCATACAATGAAATAAGAATATTCTAACAACATTCCACTGATTTTCAGTATAACAGCTATGATGGCGTTGAAGTTTCATGATTGGACAGAATGCATCTGTGGAATAACATACACCTCATGAGATGATCAACAAAATGGGAGGTGGTAGAAAGATCCACGGAGCAAACCATCAGGTTGGTGATATGGGGCGGTAATACAAAAATATGGATGTTAGACCTCACGATTTAACTGGACCAAATGGCATTGGACCGAATGGAAATTGGCTATACACTTCAGGTTTTGAAACACGATAACCCTTTTAATTTGCGGTAGTTTGAAAACATTCCAAAACCATTGTGACTCAGTGTTTTAGGATTCGAATACTTACTGCATAGGTTGTCCTTGCATAAACCACTTCCACCTTCGCATTTGGTACAGGACGGTCCGCTCACGTAAGGGGATGAGCCCACGTAGTTCCCCCTGTAAATATAATTGAATAAATAAAAGAAATACACGATATTTTTCAATTTTAACTCTATAACATTGGCGTATCCAGAACACAACGAGCCACCCCCCCCTTCGTTTGAGGGGGGGGGGGGCTGTACTGTACATCCAGGAACACATTTATCCCTACATTCATCGGTTTATCTTGTTTTTCGCATTTTAATCTACCCAATTTAATTTTCACTTTTAATCCCCCACTATCATGACACTGATGCCCACTAATTGACTCGGCCCACGCCACATATTTGCTCTCACGCTCATTTCCATTTTAGAAATGAGTAATAGTTTCATAGAGAGCTAAATCACTTGTAGAAACCATGTAATAGTATCGGGACAGCAGTATCCAGAAATAATTTTGACGAAATTTATTTCACCATTTCGATAAGTGAACTGCTTAATGTTGGCCGATTTTCACAACAGTGACTATACTTCTGGGTACTTTTTGAACCGTGCCTCCATCGTAATAGCTTAAAGTTCAGCAAACATGGAAATCGTGTATCATCATGACAATAAATACTGGAAAAGGGTTTTGCGTGGGATATTCAGTTTAGTTCAATCACACATTGATTGATTACTGAGCATTATACATTGGAACCGTTTATTCAGAGTCCACTTTACTTCCGTCATAGCCCTTCGATAAAATGGGATAAATGAGATTCAACTCATTTTCTTTTCGTTCACTCGGTGGTTGCGAAAATAGCAGAGATAAAGAACGATTTCGCTTCAGAACACCTAGTCCTTAAGCCCAAATCCAAACTTTGTTTAGCCTTAGTTTAAAACAAAACAATTGCTGAGACCCCGGAAGAGAAAATACAAGCTCTTTAGAGTTTCAATTTTCGAGCAAAATATTCAAGCAACAAGAAGCCAGAATATACTATTGTTTGTAGCTTAGCTATACAAATATTTTTAAAGTCCACTCCAAATTTTATTAAGTTAAACCGAAAATGAAAATTCTTTTTGCCCAATTTATTGATCGTGAGGCCGGCAGCCACTGAGCAGCGCCAGATCGACGTTGCTCTATCCTTTGTTATTGTTGAACGCCAAACAAGGTAGCAGCAACTCCCGTCTTTTAATGTCTTTTGGTATGACGCGGGCCGGGGTTCGAACCCACGACCTCCCGGTTGTGAGGCGGACGCTCTACTGACTAAGCCAACACACTGGCTTGCTCGCTCGCGAAATATAAAATCCGTGCCGAAATACATAGATACTACATTGTTCAGAAATACAAGTAGCCGAACGCCATTTCGCCCCCCCCCCCCCCAAAAAAAAAAGAGAAGAAGATTGATAATAATAAAAAACAAAGTAATAACAAGCAAACGTAAAACATCTTAACTTATTGATGTTTACAGTTTTGTGGATTACGGTCTGACAGTTTGTGCTATTAAAATTTAAAAATCTGTAAACAGATTGTGATATTACAAATCAAAGAATGATAAAATATTATGACTCTGGGTTACACTGGATTACACTGGTTCAACAAAGTATTGAATAAACATTGCTAAGAGTTAATAATCTTGGCAGTTTTAATTGCCAGTTACTGTACCGTTTCATAGTCCATTATTCTGGCTATCGAATTCTATAGTTGATTTTTTTATTTTAAGAACAAATCTTTCAAAATGGAATTTCTGACCTCGCCCATTGTAGTTTAAACAAAACAAACAATAAACAAAACAATAACTTACGCAGGACCATAGTTACAAGTAACGAGCCATGCATTAGTGAATGTTCTGCCATCGTTATCTCTTGCCTCGGCGCAGAACGTTTGTCCACAACCCACTGCGTACGTCGATGCCCATACATTCTGAATCAAATGAAATAAGGATAACAAATAAGTAATTAAAATATAAAATCTTGATAAATTGAATGAAATTCCCATTTTCCCTTCTTTTCCAGTCAACAACATTTGGATTATTGCAGATTTTGGGCACCAAGCCCCCCCCCCCCCCCCTGTTTACATGTATAATTGGAGCTTTATACGCATATGGCTGCTCTTTCAGATTTGATAGGGGGAAGAGTCAAGCTGGGCACGTACCAAATGCATTTATAATTGAGAGACACAACAAAGAATTACAAGTCCTCAAATACAGCGGAGCCAAAATGACACCAGGGCCACCAACGCCCCCAGTCTTCCCTTTATAGTTAAACCTGCTTTAGTGACCACCTGTCTACAAAGACCCCTTGTCTACAGCATGCACATTTTTTGTTTCCCTTGAAACTGGTTTCTCATTGAAACGTGTACTAAAGGAACCTGTCTACAAAGACCACTTTTTGTGTTGCCTTGGGCGGTCGCTGTAGACAGGTTTGACTGTACTACGGTCTACAGGCGTAGTACTCTGTCCACATACCTGTGTGTAGTGCCCACACTGCTCCCCGGATTGACATGTCATATCTTCATAGTTGTAGTATATGTCCTCATTGTACCAGGCCTCGGTGGCCCGGGTCCCGTCCTCAGGGGTCCCCGGGGCGGCGAGACCATAGCGGATGTAGAGGTTCTGGCCCACAGCAGGGAAGGGTGAGGTGTTGGCTGGGTTGCCATGCTCGTAGAGGCAGCCGTCCGACCATTCCTGCGCCATCGAGGCAAGGGTGTCATCCCACTCCTGCATGGTCGAAAACGAAGAGATTATTAAAAAGAAATATAAAATGTAAATTAGTATCTATCTTATAATAACAAGAACAGCCACCCCCAAAACCCACAACTACAATACCAACAACTGCACGACTACAACCGCCAACACCAACAATAATAACATTTATTATTATTATAATAACAACAACAAGAAGAACTATTATTATAATAATAACATCAACAACAAGAACTATGATAATGGAAGAGGATGAGAAAAAGAAGAAGCAGGAGACAGATTTTTAGTAAAAAGGCGCACACACATAATTCTGATCACATTAAGTAGAGAACATTTTTCGGAATATTGTGCCCCCTCTTTGACAGAATCCCGGATCTAGACTATCCTGGCCCTGAATATAGGACCGTAATCATCTAGAGGTAACCATGGAAATGTAAACTAACATTACATTGTCAATATAGGCAGAATGAGGGCAGGTGAATTCAGAAAATTATAAATATTGATTATTTGCTTTTCAGTCGATGCATGATTGTATTTTATTATGACGACCAAGCGAGAGAAAGGGAAATAATGATCATAGTAATATAGAAGGAAAGCAATAGCAAACAGAAACAAAGATTCGGATTTTGTTACTAATCATTTGCTGAACAAAATCATGAACAATATCAAGTTAAATAGTTTGCATAACTATGTACAAAAGTTATATTTTACGGTTTCAGTTTGTATATTGTAAGACAATGTAAAGTATTCGTATTTTTTAAAGTATCGATTGTAATAGAAAATCCATTATTTTTGTTAGGTTACGTTTTCTAAACTAATTGGTACCAAAATAATTTTTTAGCTTGGGTTAGGCTCGACTAGCACATGTGCTGTTATCTGACTCCTTTTACCAACCAATAGTTTATCTTTTAACGAAAATTAAGGAATACATATTGGAAACAGACAGAAAGATAGATAAACAGACAAAAAATCGACAGATGTCGTTGTGAACACAGATCCTTAATAATTTAATACAGGTAGACAGACAGACAGATAGACAAGTCCGCAGATATATCAACTACTGACCAGATAGCGGTATTCATATGATTATTCTATTCATATGAATAGAAAGGAGAATATGGTTCTAGTAAATTATTTATTACTATTTTTTTTTTTACTTCTTCAGTGTGTATAATTTGTAAGGGACTATAGTATAAAATAATGATAACTTTAAATATTCAATAACGATTTTTTTCTTCTAAATCTTAACAATTCTGTAATATAGGGCTCTCTTCTTTCTTTCTTTTTTTTTTATCCCCACCCCCCCCCCTCTCTCTCTCTCTCTCTCTCTCTCTCTCTCTCTCTCTCCCTCCCTCTCCCTTTCCCTCTCCCTCCCCTCCCTCCTCTCTCTCCCCTCCCTCCTCTCTCTCCCCTCTCCCCCTCTCTCTTCCTCTCTCACTACCCCCCTCTCTCCCTCTCCCCCTCTCTATCTCCGGCTCTACACACATGACTCATGATCAGAAATCTGATGTCAAATATTTGTTTTGTTCATTTGCCTCTCTATTAAACTTATATTCATTCCTGTTCTCTAGTTCGCTACACAATTAGTTTCTATGTTTCCGATTTACCCATAAAGTGCAAGCTAATCAAATAGACAGAAAGGTCTTAAATATTTAACAGCAAATATCCCCGAAATAATGACATACGAAAGGCAAATATAATCACTCAAAAGAGTGTGGTTGTTATTCTACCTGACTGTTATAGAAAGCATAAATGTTTGTTAGTAAGCAACCGACTGCTTTATGTCCTCTCCGAGGCAACTCAAATCTTGGTTCACATCAAAAAATGCTATTTCCTATAATAATGTCTTCCAAAAGGAAAAAAACGTGTATTGAACAGCACAGAATTATGTAATATAATTGAAAGAATCTAATAAATGTAGAGTGTATAATTTATTTCCTATAAATACAGTGTTTCGAGGCGCTTTTTGGGTGTAAACTTCATTACAATGAATGTTCATAACAGTAAACCTGGAGGCGCTATGTGTAAATCATAAACTTTCTGTCTTGAACTGACAAGAACGAGAAGGAGACACGCTAAACACATGAGGAAGAGCATGAAACATTCGTATTGTGACGTAACAGTAAGGTGTTGATAATTCATATGTAGTTTACATTATAGCCCTTATCCGATTTATTTTTTTGCGTTCATCTCCGAAATTCGTCTAAATATCAAATTCAAATCTATTTCCACTTACTGAACAGTGAAACGTAAAATATAACAAAGATAAATTTATCGATTAATAATTTCGAATATCAAAAATGATAAAAAGTATTGATATAAAGAGTTACATGTATAAAACATAGTTGACAATACACAATAAATATTAGTACATCAAAATTCAAATGTGGACATGAGTTGGGGTTGAATTAACCTTGTAAACAGAAGAAAACAAAATCAAATAACAGTCAAACAACATGGCCAAGAAGAAAAGGCAGAGAAAGAGATTGGGAGAGAGAGAGAGGGAGAGAGAGAGAGAAAGAGAGAGAGAGAGAGAGACGGAGAGAGAGAGGGAGAGAGAAAGAGAGAGAAAGAGAGAGACAGAGAGACAGAGACAGAGAGAGAGAGAGAGAGAAAGAATTGGGTCAGGGAAGGAAAAAAGAACAGTAGGTATGTACATAGATAGTACAATAGAACTATTACAATCCCGCTTTTGGAGGGGTGGGCGTTATGACAAAAACAGAAATATCGTAATATTGACGGCAATAAAGTGTCTGTAAATACGAGTGTTAAACACTTCGATGAGTTATACTGCCTTATCATTAACAATTATATGTTTTACTTCATGAAGGCAGGCCAAACATCAAAATTATCATTTTGGGAAAAGAATTCTCGTCCCAGATAGATAAATGTGATTCTTTGCTAAAGAAAATTCTAATTACATTCGCATTCCACTATTTTATGAGCCTGAGACCAGGTTCATGCTGAGACCGATGACAATAACTTCTGCAAACAAGGAAGTAGGGAATGTCTACACTCAAACAATGCCGTTGTTACATTGACGTGCTACACTTTGACACTATGTATGTTCATTGAAAGCATGACAGCATGCCATGAAATTAAAGGATATTCAGACAACACTTTGAGGCTTAGGGGGTGTGGTATAAACAGTGAGATGTGAATTATTCAACTCATACCTCCCTGGTGTGGACTTGTAGATAATATCCTAGAGTTCATGTACAGACAGCGTATACCGTGGACTCTATATTGATTGTAAATTATGGATTTTCAATCATGAACATGCTGCTAAGTATTGACTTGCATTTCATTTTCAAGTCAGAGAAAAAGAGAGTCGAAGAAATAGGAGAAGATATAGAAGGGGAAAAGATAGTCATTATACATAGGGATAGAGATAGGGAGAGAGAGAGAGAAAGACACAGAGAGAGAGAGAGAGTGAGAGGGGGACATAGACGGATAAAGGGGAGGGGAAGAGGGGTGGAGTGAGGGAGAGAAAGAGAAAGAGGGTGAGAGGGAGAGGAGGGAGGGTGAGCTTTTAATATCACTATTAATCATGTCTTCATTGTCATAATCATCCAAAAAAATATGGCATTGTGATAAAATTCTATTTCTGATTACAATCAGGGGAAGGATTTATTGTGTGTGCCTTGTATATAAAAACCCTGTGAAAGTATCTAGCATTGTCTGATAAACCTGATTAGTGACAGTGCTTCGTAACACCCTTATGAAAAAAGGGTACAGAAGGCTTCTTTTATCAATAATGACCCTCATGGTAATTTCCTTTGGTGTTACAATTTCAGAGATCTGTGGGAAACGTTATTTGAAAGAGAGGAAGTTTATCTCACGCTTAGCAAACACTTTAAAAGGTTGACAACTCGAGCCGGTGAACAAACAAGAACAAAACAAACGCTAAGAAATATCACCGGGCATATATACCAGCAATGGAGGGCATTAACAAATTAAAAAAGGACTCATTAAAATCACAAATATTGGGATTTTAATGTTAGAAGGTAGGCGGATGAAAAAAAGTGGTTAGATACCGCGTAAGGAAAAAAGAAGAGAAAGCAACAGATTATGAGGCGTCACTTTGCTTGACGTACGACTGCGTCGGCGTCAGTGACTTTGTGCGGTCTTTGACGCGCGATGTGAGAGTGAAAATCGTACACAAATTGAATGCAAAATGAACAGTACCAACATATTTGATTTATTAGCTTATGTATGGGCTAATTGCCTTTACGAACTTAATGAGCGCAAGTCGTGACGCAACTGAAACGCCTCGTGTGCGCTTGGAATTGGAGTTATACGTTGAGCACTGCCCATCCGTCAACATTATTTTGATCGCGATTTTATCATTAATCGCCCATGTTTTGCTGAGGTATCTGGACAGCAAAATGCCACACCCATTTTCTGTTGCCAGACGATCTTATAATATGCGCAGGCAGGAAAAAATATTCGAATTGAGATGATTGATCACAATCGAATTGAATCGAGGAAAAATCCAATGAATATAATATATACCTCCACCAGCAGCGCTTTAGTGCAGCTTCACAGTGTTTAACGAGACTCTTTATGGGTAATAGAAATCGTAAGTAAATACAAAAAATTCTCAGTAAATAAAAGAACGGGGAAACACGCAGACGACAGGCGGCTAAATAAACTCAGAAAGATAATGGAAAGTAAAAAGCGTTACACTTGGCGACGAGTAAATAAAAGATGCCTGCTAGACATGACAATGCGTTAGTGGGAAGATGAGCGACACTGGTTTAAAGATTGACGCGCGACGTGCTTGAAAGACTAATTTAGACCGCTTAGAGTCTTTGGAACGTATAGTTGGATACAATAAAGAGTAACTGCTTCTGATGTAACCATGGTAACCTAACACTATGTATCAGTTTTCCTTTCGAACATATCACGTGTCAATATCACATAACGTGTTTTACGATGAGCTGGTATATGCTTTCGATGAATATAATTAGATACCATCATCATGTGAGTGCAATGTATCGATGTATCTGATT